CTTGTGCAAAAGAAACAGAGGCTAGTAGAAACAAGTGCATCGCTTCTAGTAACAAGTGCCTTACTAGTAGTAACAAGAAGCTATTATTTGAGTTTGCTATTTCAATAAACTTGCTGGAAGGACTGAGGTGTCAAAGACCCACTCGAATCACATAAGAAACAGAGCCACACGCTGGGACCTGTGTTGTGGCACAAGGAACATCACGGACAAGCTGTGCCGGGTCTCCTGGGGCAGCGCTCGCTTCCTGTGCAAGATCCACACGGAGGAGCGCTCGCTTCCGGACAAACGTCGGCGGATCTCAAACGGGTTCATCGGGCGAAGTGGTCGACGCAAGTCCCGATGGAAGTGTTTCTTCGATGCAAGTTTTAGTAGGGAGAACCTCCGTGGCCCAATGGGTAGAGTATGGTAGACTGGTTTATTTCCCGAACCTTCCAGGAGTTTTGGGGAGTTCTCCCTATACACATGCAATATATTTTTTAAATACACTCCCATGTTCAAGATTAATTAGCTCTTGTTGGAGAACTCGAGCACATGAAGCAACTGAACTCAAGAGACTTGCGCTTGGGTTCTTGGTTCCTTCGCATGCTGTAGCTGGATGCTGCAAGATGGGTTTGATAGACTAACCTTGAATGGCGTGATGAATGTTGATAATACTATTTCAATCCGAGATGAATATTAGGAGACAATGCTCCAGGAAAGAGGATTTGTGTGGTTCACCAGTCTGTTCACCTTCACCTCTCGAAACAATGCTTGCCTTCCAGCTGTTTCCAGTTCATTCCAGCCTTCCTTTCCAGCTACTATGAGCTGACTCTCAGACAGAACCCAAGAAAAAAGAACGAAGCTCGCTCTCGGGGACCGACCGACCGTACCGACGGGCTTCGGCGGGTCGGGCGACCGCAGCTTCTCCAGGACCTCCCGGAGGAGGAGATGACGGAGCTCTCCGACGAGTTGGCCGAGGAGCTCAGCACCGCCGACCTCTCCGTGCGGCGCCTCGCGGGCTTGGCGAGGCGCTTGGCGCAGGTCACTGAGACCTACGTGGATCAGGACCCGCCGAAGTGAGCCGCACCGACGGTAGGGGTTCGGTGCTTCGTGGTGGTTCGGAGTGGAGTGGAAGGCAGTGGTGTGTGTGTGTGTGTCTTTTTGGGGGGACAACGGTTGAGTTGGGGTCTGATGGTTTTGGGAGGATGATTCCATTGTGATGCTTTTGGATGGGGTTGTTTCGAGGGTTGAGACATATAGCCCTTTCTACGTCCTTCCACTTGCAGACAGTGTGATGGACAGAGGTAGGAACGACAATCAACACCCAGACAAAGCATCTTCATCAAACACGTCAGTTCAAAGAGCTTGCAGCATCACCTCGACCTAGAACTTTCAGCAGAACTCCTTCCGCGCCCAAGCAGCACGTCTCAGCCCGAATCACCAAATAAAAGAAATCAACATGGGTGCGTACAGACTCATACAGATATCCCACGTATAGACCGTCCTCTAGGGATTCTTAGGGTTTCTTGGCCCCGGTCTAGGGCCTAGGATGGTCCATCATAGGACCTGTCCTAGGGCCAGGAGAGGGCCTGTCATATATTAGTTGAAACAATAGTTGTTAAAAAGGAAGTTTCACGAAAAGTGGTTGTTTCATTCTAGTGGTTTTTTCACTGTTGTTGTTTGAGAGGGTATGTTTCAGACATATTATAGAATGTATCAGGTATATAGTAATATAAGATGTGTGATAAGTATAATATTCAAACTCATCAATGGCTGCCGCTGCTGATCCTTTTCCTGATCTTCCTTGCTCGGAATCTGAACTGCTTCCCTTGAAGCCTGCCAACTTAGTTCGACACCAGCTCTGGTTCGAAACCTGCATCCCTGGCTTTTGTACCAGAAAAAAAATACTGCTGCCCATCTGGATGCAACCACTTCGAGTACGTTCGACCCGACTTGGTTTCAATCACTACGACTTTCCACCCGCCCTTGTATTCAGTAGTGGAAACGATCTTGGGAGAAGGTCTGCTTTTCGAAGCTTTGGCAACCGGTAAGGAGACAGAAGGCTTCTTGAGAGCACGTGGGTCCACAATGGGGTCAATCTCTGATTTCTCTTCCTCTCCACCCTCCTGCTGAGAACCAATGCTGACGTCCACCTTCTCAATGACCTGGGACGCTGGTCGCTTGCGAGGGGCCAGCCCTGGCTGCTCGGAAGATTGACCATCTACAACTTCCTGAGCAGCTGGGCGTTTGGAAGTCTTCACTACAGCAGAAGGCCGCTTGTAGAGAACGGCAGCAGTGGATCGCAACTTTGGCTCTGTGGTCTTCCTGTCTACTGGCGTCTCCGTGTCTTTTGATGTACCTGACAGTAGGTAGTAAAAAGGAGTGAGATGGAGTGAGTTCAGAAGTAGTTTAAACCATGCTCAAAAGAAATACAAGGTATAATGGACAGATAAACAAACAAAGAAAGACACGCACAATAAACAAATCAAAACAACACACAACTTGCAAGCTAGTTCTTCACACTGGGCTGCCTGGAGTCCTGCCCCTGCCCCTGCCACGTCCACGACCGCGCCCCCGTGGGGCTGCCTTTGGGACTGGGCTTGGAGCTGGCGGTGTTTCCTCCAAGACACCCTGAGCACTACCCTGAGAGTCACGCCGCCCTGGAGAAACTAGCTGAGAGGCAGAGGCTTGTCGAGAAAGAGGTGACACCACGGAATTCCCTGCGGCTTCCAAATTTGCAAGGATCCTGGCTTGAATGTTCATGGCCCTATTCCTGGACACTGGACAATCTGTTTTCTTGATCAGGTAAAACCTTGCGAATCTGGCAAGCATGAACTCACAGCAAAAGATAGCAAAAGGCGTTTTAAGGGTGAATTCCAAACTGCTATGTTGGAAAAGCTTGAAGGTCAGAATCATGAGCAATGCATCTCTTTGTCAAAAAGTCAATGTCAAGCAACTGGCAACTGTCTGCATTTTTCCGAGTAGTGTCGCTGTGTCGTACTACTTCTATATAATTAAACAGAAAGCCTACTCTGTCTGTACTGGGTGCATTCAACAAAATTTGATGCCCTGCCCAGATCAGGATGTGGCATGCTCCAAGCCTTTCTTTTCCTCCACCCACTCTAGCAGATCAAGCAGAGTGGATAGTGTTTTCTTGAAGCTGTGCTGAAGCTTTGGACATGGGACCTCCGTGTACTCGATGAGACCATTCAAGTCTTGAGTGGCCTTGGTAAGCTCTGTCTGAAGAAGCTCCAGCTTGCTGGGTTTGTCCACAAGCTGAAGCTTTCTTTCACCAGCTGACTGGCGATCTCGATGAATGAAAGGCCCGACCACCTCATCTACGTGGATAAAGCACCCGTCAGGTGTAATCCCATCCTCTCCGCTCATTTGGCAGTAGAAGGTGATGTTGTAGAGGATGGTAATGACTTGGGCGGTTTCCATGGCAAACGTGTCCTTCGTGGGGTTGTCACTCCAAGAGTCCCTGGTCTTGAAGATCACTTCCCTAATGTTCTCGAAGCTAAACTGAACCCTCTCAGCAAGCCCCGCCAAACCATAGACCACCACGAGTCCATCCCATAGCATTTTGACCTCCTCAAACGTCACTGGCATTGTCGCAGAGGAGACTGGGCAAGAACACAAGACTAGGAGGAAGCAAAAGCTGAAGGCAGCAGTGCGAACAAGACACTAAAGATTGCGAGTCCCTGAATTGTTTTGCAATGCCGTTTCTTGCCATATGTTACGGAGTCCTGAAACAATTGGCTTGATTTTTTTCCATTCACAAGGTCTTCTCAAGGGAGTCAAGCCTGCGATGACTGATCCCGATGTGCTGGAGAAAACTCATCAGTCCTGCAGGACTTATTTCCCAGTAATTAGACCTTGGACCCATATGGTCAAATCTACTCGAGCATGTGCCTCACTGCTGCCCTTCCGCAAACGTAAGCAACAAACACCCGCTGAACAATGACAATCTCGAGCAACAGGTTGAAATTCTGGATGACTTCAGAGATTGGTAAAATGGACTGCAGTGCCATGCACAATGATACATATACCTACTACCTTTTCCTGCTCAAAAGTATGAACCATCCACACCAGATTCGATTCAATAGTGTAATGTTCAATGAATACGTTTGCCAGTGGTTTATCGATCATTCAAAGTATACAGTACAGCACATGACAATTAGATAAACCAAGATGGCCAGGATGGTCATTCAAGATTCTAGGCCCATCTCATTTTGGTCAGTCTTTGGTGATCTTGAAAGGCTTGTCCTTCTTGAGACACAATGCCCTGCCAGCGACCATGTAGGGACGTTGAATCTTGAAGTTCTGCCCGACTCGCTCAAACCTGAAGCGAAATACCTTCAAGGCCAGGTCGCCATTCAAGCCATTGATGCTTTTGGAAAAGAAGTTCTTCGCAGTCACCTTGTCCTCTGACCCCCCTCGTGGATCACGAATGCAGCGAAATTTCATTGGTGTTTTCACCACCACTTTGAAACCATCACCGCCATCCACTTCTGAATCCTCTTTGCGGGTGATGGTCAAGAAACTCACACGATGATCAACTACTCCTTTGTCACGTTCTGCACGGGTCAGCAACTTGAAAAGAGAACTGGTGCTCACCCCCTGGGCTTCACTGGAAAAGGTGCTCTCGTCAAGCTGGACGATACTTTGGTCTCCATGGGGCATAGCGAAGTCGATGCCAGGCTGGGAATCAGCGCCGCTCACCCATTGCCCCGTTCCAAAGCCACCGATGATGGTGTGGCGGTCAATGGTTTTGTCAGCGCTGGCAAGCAGCCAACATGAGGCATCTTTCCCAAGGATCAGCTCCACACCGCTGACCTCACTGGCGCACTTGCACTCAATGCCATGAGTAGATTCCAGCTTCTGCAGTGACTCAAGTTCAGTGGCTCCAGATCCAGTTCCAAGGTTTTGCGTATCAGGATCCTCCGAAGCTTCCTGAGGATCTTGCCCTGCATCAGCATTGTCAGCAGCTTTTGGCACACTGCTTGGGCGCCCGATCAAGTCTACCGATTGTATTCCTGAGAGATGTCACCGCCCTGGATCGACCAAAACTTGTGCTCGTCCACCTTGATGGTGAAAGCCAATCCTGCCCCAGTGCGCTCCAACGTTTCAAACTTGAGCTTGTCGATCTGGCTATCAGAAGCGCCCTGTATTCCTTGCAATTCAGCTTCTGAAAGCTCAGGTGCCTGCAAGGTGAACTGATGGCCACCATGGGAGAACCGTCGAGCGATCCAAGCATCTGTGCTTTCCCGAGTGAGCCTCGCATGGCCAAAAGTGTCCCGATTCAACCACCAGACGCTGTGGTAGTACAAGTTGCTCGTGTGGAAGCCGCCCTTCAATTCAGTGTTCTGCAGTCGCATCTCAAATACCTCAACAGTTCGTAACGTCTCAAATCACTGGCAACCATGATGGGGTCATTGAAGTAAAGAAAATTGCCCACATCTAAAATTGAAATATACTTCTTCTGATTCTGGTATCCAAATTGGCCCTGCTGCTAACACAAAAGTTCGCAATGTTCAATGTGCGCTGTAAGTCAGTATAATTTATACTATTCAAAGTCTTCAAACAGAGTGATGAATTTCCCAGTACTCAATGTGCTCAACCAAATCCAAACTGAAGCTGCAGCATGTGGAAGCTTGGACCACACTGTAGTGAATATCATATTGTTGTATGTTTCAACCATCTGGTGATTAAGTTGGAGCCCGAGTTTTAAGCCCCCCTGCTGCAATCCTACCTTGAGGTTTTTGCTCAAAGGTTTTGCAAAACATAACTTAGGTTTGAATTCAACTCTCCTTTTAGGATCTCCCCATTGCATGCAAAGTACAGCGCAGCCCACATCCTCGATGTACCCAGTGAGGTTAAGCACACATACGGGCTTGTTCTTGAGCACTTTGCAGCCTGGAGATGTCATCGTCAACATGGACTGAAGAAGCTTCTGCCATCGCTTCATCCCTTTTTGCGCTGAGCAAGTTTCGTTTGAGGGACGCTGTCTTTCAGCTTGCTTCAAATCGCCATCTGCCGAAAGTGATTCAGGAAGGATGATATCTCGTGAAAGGGGTAGAACCACAGGATCATCTGACAAAGGCCGCCCGCAAACACCAAGCTCTGACTGACCTGCCCATATGTTGTCATCTTGGCCATCGATGTTGCAGACCAAGCGACCGCTGCTGTATCTCCTGTTGGGACCATAGTTCAAAAAATTAGAAGAACAATTTTACTGTATAATAATTTATATGTAATATATTGTATATAATATATAATGACAATGGACTATTAAGTGGTAACCTGGTAAGGATTTTTTGACGGTTGTTGACACAGTCCTCAAAATAGAAAACAAGACACGATTCTGTCCTGCGGCCAGACTGCACCTCAGCCGATGCATGAACCTCGAAGGGACATATCCACCTAATGTCGCAGCCTTGTCGTAGTGACCAAAGACACTCTTGAAGTTCTTTTTCCTCGTCTGCAAGACCTCGTTTGCTGCTTTTCTTTGGGATCTCAGGCAGCTCGACAAGGGCACAATGCCGTTGAGGTGCGAGGTCATTGACAAACTGAATGCAACTGGCAATTTCCTGGAGCCGTTCAGATGACTTGGCACCGGGGACATTGAGGTCCACCACAGTCACCATGTGAACGTCAGAGTCGCTGCATCCAGCTGCCTGTGCCTGGATTGTGCCAGAATCAACCCGGTTTGATCTACCAACAAATATCAACAAATACTGTAGGTCTTTGGCACTGTGTGCCACAGTTATGACACACACAGCCCTCACCAACCAAACCCAAAAAATCAAATTGACATTCAACATCTAAGGTGCAACAAAACTCCTGTACTCGTTGATTTTCTGCTGCGCCAGCTCACCTTTTGAAACTGTGTCGCAACGCAAGAACTTCGACTGGTACGCATTGACAACCTTCTCGCCAAGCTCTGCCTGGGCCAGCCTCCACTGGACAATCTTCCGATGCTTGAGGCTCTCAATCTTGGCTGGTGCTTCCTTGATCGTGCGGAGGAGCTTCCAATCCCTTTCAAGAGCTGCTTGAAAGTATTGCCATCTGGCATCACGAACTTTCAAACGTTCCTGCTCAGCCTCCAAAGTCTGGCCCTCCTCCTCCATGCGAGCCTGCTCCAAGGCCTCCTTCTGTGCAGAGGGCAACATGCTAAGACTGAAGTGCGATGGCCGAGCTTGGATAAGCTCGAGGAGATCATTGTCCTTCAAACTGCTGGTTCTAAACAGCTCATCATAGCTGTCAAAGTCTTTCATCTTCTTGGAGAGAAAGTCGCGAATACCAGCATAGAGGCATACAATGTTTCTCAATTGAGTCAACTCTTCTTCTTTGAGCCTGTACCGTTTGCGATCAGCCGGAGAATCCACAATCGCAGTGGCCTTCTCAAAGGCCAAACGGATGCGGCAAAACAGAATTTCCTGGGACACTTCTGTCATGGGAAGACTCCAGTCCAGCAGAACGGTCTCTTCTCCAGCTGCACAAACCATCATGGAATCGGGCAGAGCCATCATTGGCATCGTTGATGACAAAAAGAGGTACTTCAAAATGGAAAGCTGTTCACCCCATGGTCCATGCTGGAAAGGGCCATCCTTCAGTGCCAGTTCCACTTGCTCTTTGGCCTTGGGTGCGGTCAGCTCCAACCAATGCTTTATTGCATACTGCTTCTTGCTGTCCAAGACGAGGCTCCCAGATCCAGTCTTGTCCTGTGCAGGTCGCTGGAGTCAAATGATTTTACATCAACACCCGTTTGTTTCCTAAAATGAAATGGAACTCAACAAATTATGTGTGATTAATAAATCCTTCAAACATTGGGAATGATTAATGGTCCCCTCCTTAGCTGAGCTTCCACCGTGTGCCAGCACTTCCGGATTCTCGTTGTACATGGTCATGGCGTCTGAGAGGGAAAGTGAAGCACCGTCTTTCTGCATGGACGACAAGATCTGACTCCATTCATATGAAGAAACAGCCAACTTCTTGGAGTCAACATTCTGCTTGATAATCCTTCGGATCATATCCGAAGTCACGCTGGCCCCTTGTGTCTTGTAGACCGTCGGGATGCTCAAAAGGGACTTGGCCAGGTCGACGATTTGTTGACAGGCAAAATCGCTCTCTTTCATGTTCCGCACATGGTAAACCAGTCCGCACCAGCATAGCCCCGCAGCTAGACCCCTCATGCCCCCATCATCAAACCTCAGAAGGTTCTGGTGGTCCTCCAAGTCGTCAACATCTTCACTTGGCAAGCGCATGCCGAGGATCTCACCCTGCCCAGGGCCAAGCAAACATAAGCCTGGAAGAACCCGCTTTAAAATCTATTGGGAGAAAATCCATGAGCACGTTTTTCAAAAGTATATAAGTATCTTGGAAATTCATCGCTGGTTCTAAGTTGAGTGCCTGGAGTCTTAGATGGGAGGGCGGGGGGCGGGGGGCGGCGAGCAATTCCAGATGAAAACTTGATTTTGGGTGGCGAGCTCTTCCCAGAAGAGCTCTCCACCCCTTGGTTGAATTTCCAGAAAGAACTTATCTTGTTGCCTTCCTTGCTCTCCACTTTGCACCTGGGCCTTGAACCCTCAGGGTGGCGAGCTCTTCCTGGAAGAGCTCTCCACCCCCCCCCCTCCCCCAGGTAATGAATCTTCCAGGACCTAGAAATCTGCCAGTTCCCCAACTCAGGAATTCTGGAATCTCCTAAGTATTTTCTGAATCTCTGGGTGAGTGCCTAGTTTGACCCTTGTACCACGTATGTGGGGAGGCGGCGAGCTCTTCCTGGAAGAGCTCTCCACCCCAGCCCCCTGGGTCAGATCCTCAGAGTGGCGAGCTGCTAGTGTTCCCTTCCCTTCACAAACTTTTTTTGTTTTTTCATAAGTCCTGCCTCTCTCCAGCCCACCAGTGAGATGGACTTGGCAATGTCGAGCACCGTGGCTGAGTCAGGGGCCCTCCAAAATGACGTGCCACTAAAGTTCCACTGGAGGATAGATGTAGTAAAATACGAGCCCGCTGCTGGTGGAAAATCCTGGCAAAAAGTCTCACAGGGCAGGGTCCCGTAGTGGGTTTTGGAAAACAACCACTATATAAAGCACAACGCGCAAACATTGTAAAGTTGTGAAAAGTAAGTTGATTTAAACTTAATAGTCCTTCAATGTCAGATACTTCTGAGTGAAGTCATCGACGGAGGAATCTGATGCCATCAATCCGATCCTCTTCACAAAGTCCAAGCTGTCCTCAATCAAAGAAGTTTCATCAGCCCAGCATCGCTGCACCAGATCCAAGAATGAGCCACCCTTGTGCAAAGGAAACTTGCGATCTTCACTGAATCCATGGCGGCCTTGATGCACCAGAGATATGAAGTCCCTCAGCTCGATGCGAACTGGTGCCACCTGAGAGATATTATCTGGTAGATGGCCGGCGTTCTTGCTGTTGCTCTGAGCTGTGCGTTGCTTCTTCCGAGCAGGAGCCATGTCGATCCTACAGCCCGGTTCCTGGACCCGAGACAGAGCCTGAATGAAAGTTCCAAAATGTAACAAAGTATTTCAATGATACAAACAGTAGTTGTTCCAATTCAAAATCAGGTTCATCAAGCCCAAGCAAACATGGATATTCAATATTTATCATCACTTGCACGCTACTTAGAGCTTATTGCAAGACGACTTTCTTCCCCACACCGTTCAATCAAAGCTGGCAATCCAAGCTCTGACCACTCCGAGCGATCTTGTACCTCCGAATTATTTACTACAAGCAGCCAAAGGTAAGCCAATGGCAAATCAAACTAATCCTCCTAAGATCGTCATGCCATGAATCACGCTTCCTCAACGCCTGCCGTCCAGTTTGCCAGAACTGACACCAATGCTGCCAGATGGACTGGCACTGAAAACCTGGGGGTTCCAGAAATTGCCAAAAACTCCAAAAAAGTTGACAAGTGACCAGTGATACTAGATATTAACCCTCAGAGTCCTGACTTTCATCCCTTCCCCATCCACGCTGGACACACGAGCTTAGGAAGGTACGCATTGCCAATGAAAGAGCGCATCACCTTGTCTGGTGCCAAATGCATGTCATAGTGAGACCATTCCGTGCCACCAATGCCCTGTAATTTGGCCAGCTCCTGTGGAGCACTCCCCAAAACATAATTGGAGTGAAGGAGGGAATTCATTGAACAGGAAAACATAACTATATAAGTGGAAATTATTACGCGCTCCTGTGCCCTCACTTGTCGAAACTGCCCTGCACCACAAAGAATGTACTTGCCCCCTGGGATGAGGCAAGTAGTAGTCGAAGTATCCGATTTGGGATATGTGGATCTGTCAAAGTTCTGGTCCTAAGATCGGCAACAGCAACCTGACCTGTAGCCTGTAGTTCATTACTATATATATATATATTATATATAGTATTAATATAGTATTGATTCCATAAAATCCCGCTCAACGCATAAAAGAAACGACCTGGATGACCACCATGGACTTCATCGCATCCACACCCTTCTCAACTGCCAATTGCTCAATAGCACAGGCTAAGATGCAGATCTCTCGTTGGCTGCAGCTGGTTGCAAGTGGGGTCAACTCCCTCACTCGCTTCTGAAGCTTGCCCTGGCGCAGACAACGAAACATTTTGACAAAGGATCTAAAAAATCCTTACCCCTGGGCCTGTAAAAAAACATATACATTTCAAAAAACAAGTGAACTTGAACGGTTCAGTCAAACTAAGTTGAAAGGTTCAAACTATCAAAACACGGGTGATCCCTCTTGAACACAAAACAAAAGAAAAACACCGTGTGCCTTTCCATAAATCTCGCATTGCGCTTCAAAGCCACCCTTCCACTTTGGCTCCTTCGTGGCAACCTTGTTGGAAGCTCGAGAAGACTTCTCCGTGTTGGTGATGGTCAAATCCATGCAGCTGGAAAGAGAGACATTGTGTCTTCTGAACAGATTCATGTCTGCTGCCAGTTGTGCGCTTGAGGAGGAAAGTTCTGAAGCCTGGATACATAGTAACCACGCTCTGCGTCGCTGCTGTGGAAGTCCAAAGTCCGCTGTGTTATACTCAGCGCCTGAGACAATGTACCCCAGCTTCTCCAAGCGAGACTTCACAATTGAGTACCTGAGCAAGGTCCAATACATCAAGTTGCCATGTATGGAAACATTAGCGGTAACAATCATCATCAAACAAGAATGAACATCATTTGAGCCCTTCGCAGCATGACCTAAGGATAAACCTTGGGGGCAATACAAACAAAATAAGTTTAGCGGACGTCCTCAAAAGTCCTTAAAGATGACCAGAAACGGTGACTCCCCAGATTCCGTTTGTCGCTTCGCAAACATCGTCCTCACATTCTCTAGAATGATGATCCGTGGTCTGTGGTTCTTGGCAAAGGCCTCAACTCCAAGAAAGCCTTTTCCTGTTTCGCAGTCCGGGTCGATCACGGAGCCCGGTGTACTCGTCAACATACTCAGAGAAACGCAAGGAAACCCACCAACCAAGACGTCAACCTGAACGGGGAGGATTGTGGAAAGTTTTCCAAAAACAAAAACTACAGTATAGAGGGCATATGGTCATTTTACAACATGTTGGTTATCATTCAACACAGGTTCATTTCAGGACCAGCTGGATGCCTTTGGAACTCGTGCTGATCCACCATCGGCAGTGGGAGCGCAAGAATGCCCAGTGTCCGCTACATCCTTAAAGATGATGGACTCAGGGAACCGCGATGCCAAGTACGCTGCCTTGCGAGGATCAATCTCGGCCATAAACTTCACGTTCACCTGCAATGGAACAAATTATATAGGGTCTATTTTTTTTCAATAGAGCAATTATTTCACAGAAACCCAGTGCTTTCATGGGAATCCCGTTAACCTGTTATTCATGTTGTGTTTTTGGAACTTGGAGCCTTCAGTGATGCATCCTCCGGATAAACTGCATTCCATTGACTTTGCAAGCTCGAGCAAACCATTTCAAGCACGCCCCAACCAGTGAAGAAGCTACCAACATTGATGCTGTCAATCTTCTGCAAGTTGGATGCCATTTGAAGTCTGAGACGTTGGAAAGCAGAATCCCGAAGGAATTCGCACACAAATCCATGAATCTTGGTTGGCAAATGAAACAGTAACAGCAATCACTCTCACCAACTCCCGTGTTCTTTGTTTTGAACAGTGATGATTAAAGAATGATGAGTCAAAGGCCCTTACACAATGAAAGAAAAATTACAATCCACCAAAAGTTCATTGTCCCATTCAATACAAGGAGCACTTGGCTCCCCATCTAGCGCCCGCAGCTTGGTCTGAGGATTATCTGCTTCATCTGCGTGTTCAGAATATGAAGCAAGCAGAAGGTCCCCTTCATTCTCATCGCCCTCATCCGGTCCTGACGGGATGAGTGAACAAGACCTTGTACCTTATGTAATTCGTATTAAAGGGGCCCCTCCCTTGAACTATCATATATAATATATAGCCCATAACTCCATAGTGGTCACCCCCCCCATGCAGCAACATATGTTTGATGTACATCAACAAAAATTAACAACTTTGAAGCAAACCATGTCCTTTTGGATGGTGCCGCTCATCATCTGAGCTGTAAAGGATCTCCTCGCTCTCCGCCAGCTTCCTGCACAACGGGACTGGTATGATGTTGGGACCAACGTGGCACGCTACCTGTAAACCCGGGATGGCCTCAAGCTTGTGAAGATCTGTCTCCAAAAAACAATAGAAGCAGGCAAACAATAGAAGTAGGTTGGGTTGGTTGCACCCCCCCGCTGCTGGTCACCAGGCTAGTGCTGTGTTTTATCTCTTTGGGTTTCACGGTTCAAAACCTCCAGGCAAATCTAGCTCTGCATTTGAATCAGAGCTGTCATCAGAGACATCGCCTGTCTCTGCATCACGATCTAAACGAACATCGAAGTGCTTCAGACGCCGAGGGGTCTGCCAAGAACCTGGATGATGCTGAATCTGTCTCATATCTTCCGAGTGCCGGAAGCTCAAAACCGAGTATTGCGCTGGTCTGGGAACTCGAGGCAAGGTACCTCGGCACCACTGCAACAAATACTCTGCCCCTTCATCAGTAAGCTCCCCGGACTTCCGGCAGGGTGGAACCGTTTTTTCAATGTTCTTCCGAATGGGTTCTCGGATCACTCGTCGAGGAGCCACACCTGAAGGTGGCTGATAACCAGCACGTATTTGGGCAGCAGTGACTGCGGGAACGACACACAAAGCACGTTGAACCTCCGTATCTGCCAGCCACCTTTTTGTAATCAAAAAGGTATCATCTTGATGTGGTTCAAAGCGGTTACCACTCAGCTCCTCCAATTGCAAGACATTGTCTAAGACGTCTGTGCCCAGGTCCTTCCGTGCGCAAAACCGGAAGTAGTGTACCCGGCGGAGGCCTCGAAAAATGACTCCTGTCTGACCTACAAATGGTTTCCAGCAGCATGTCTCGTCCAGCTTGTAAGCCCTTGCCTGCGAGCCTCTGATGCGTCCAGTGTTTCCAGGATCAGTTCCAGTTTCCATCGCTTCGGTGAGCACTGCAATCATCCCATCAGGGCTTGTAACAGATTTGCCCATCAAAAGCCTAGCGATTTGACCAAAACATTGGTCGATGTCTTCGTGGCTATGCCCCACTCGGCAAAAGCCGAGTGAGGCAAACCTGCACACACCAAGGATTTGTAGAAGGAGAAAGAACGCCATCATGTACTTATTCTTGCCCTCCCTGTATGTGTTGTCTTGCTGGAGGTGTATCGACAGTGGAATGCTGCCAAAATTGTCGATCACCTCGGATAGGGCACGAGCACAGAGCTCGATGGAAGTGACGCTGTCCTTTTTGAGATCTTCAGTCGATAGGTTCAAGTTCAATCGAAACCCATGGATCCACGTGCCCACCAAATGGCAAGCAGGCCGAAAGATCTTGTCAAATGCCTTCGACATCCTTTTGTAGCCAAGCCTTGGGAGACGTAGTTTTGACTGATCCATGCCATCCTGGATCAGCGTGAGAACGCTGGTGGTCACACAAGACTTTCGCAGCTTGCCAGCGAAATGAAGAGACTCTGAGAAATAGGCTCTTGAATTAGCTTTCAGCTGCCAGTAAAAGGTTCGGTCAAGCCATTGGCTCAGCAAATGGCGCGAATATGTATGCACCAAATTTTCACGGTCATTCTTTGTCTTGGCATTCTTTATCTTGGCACGCAATCTGTAACAGATGTCGCACTGCCCATGCTCGCCCTTGTCCCGGCACTTGAGGTGGCTAGCAAAGATTGGTTTCATTATTCGTCTGAATGTGGAGAAGGAAGCAGCTTCTTCTCCTCTACTTTGGGCAAACACCTGGTACTGGTAAAATAACTCGATCGGTGTGGTCCATTCAATGAACCTCCTTGGACCCTCAAATGTCCCGGGTCCAGCGCAGGTTGCCTAAGGTTGGATGCAGCAGAACTAAATTTCAAGATGCAACATCAGGGAACAATACAGGAACATCAAAAACATTCAAAACATTTCAAAAAAATATGTTGTTTCAAGACACCGAGTTGTGATCATAGTTTTGCTCGAGGTTTCTCATGAATTTGTGGACATACCTTTCCTGGAAGTTTGGATCTTTGGCCGCATAGCTTTCAAATTGGCCTTCATGGGGCATAGCCAGTTTTGTAGGGAGTATCTCTGCACAGCTGGAATACAACAACCAAAAGAATGCCATGATATTCGGCCACTTGTGACTTCCAGCATCACGAGCAAGGGACACGCCAATAGTTGGGTGTTTGGGCTCGTTTAGCCGTTGCTCCCCGGTGTAATATGCAGCACGCCCTTCACGCAAATTCTGCAAAGCTCGAGCGCCAACACCATATAGGCGGGCATGTGCATGTTTGCAGACAACCTTTTCCAAAAAGCACAAATGGTCTGAAGAGTCCCTCTTGGAATACTTTCTCTTTTTGCAAGGTTGCTGCTGGAAGCTTTCCCCCTCTGAGTCTGATTGCAATAATATGTCGTCTCCCTCATCTTCCGACAATGGTCTCCAGTGGGTTGACCCTGCTTCTGACTCCGTTTCTAAAAGAACCTCATTCTCCGAGTCAGTCTGCAACAGAGTGTCATTGTCCGCTGAGGGCTTGGAGGCCTGTCCCAAAAGCTGCGGATCAATGCGATACCACTGGCGCAGCAAAGCTTCCTAGGTGTCGTTGTTTCAGGACGATGCCAAACGGTATAGTAGATGTGATGTTCAAAAGATTCCAAATGGTACAGAATTAATCTAATTAAACCCTGATCAAAACTGTCGAAAACACTGCGAGGGTCTTTGCGGTGTGCTTCCAGCTTTTGAAAGCGCTCTCTCTCATTGTTCACAGCTTCTGCGTCATCTTGAAATTGCTTAAAGCAATTAGCTTGACCACACAGACATGGCTTGCATAAAAGCTGCGCAATTGTCAACTTGGGCATTGGAAAAATGGCTGCCGCAACTTGATCACAACTAACTCGAGATTCATCATTGCCTCACCAACACCCCTGAACCCTAGAACAAGGCAGGTATAGCAAAACGCCCCAAACTTGACCGGGTCTCGATCTTTCACCACCCTTCAGCTCCATATCCCTCAGTCCTGGAAGCTGGACGCTTTGTTGCTGGTCTCTTGAGAGAGGCTGCTGCTGGTCGCTTCATTGCTCTGCAGCACGTCTATGACAATCTTTTGATCCAAAAAAGCTTCAAAGTTGGAAGCCCATTCTATGAAGATCTCTCCTTGCCTTGTCTTCATGGACCCCCATCCAATCTTCCCAATCCCCAAAAAACCATCCAAACGAAAAAACCTCTTTTCATGAAAGTTCCTTTAAAACAATTGTTAAAACAATTGGTCTATATGATTTTTCATGGGTTTTTCATTGTTTTCGTTGTCCCCAGTTTTGAACACATCCCTATCATAGGGCCAATCGGCTCCAGGAAGTGGAGGAAACCGTTAGCTCCACTTCCAGCACCACTTCCAGCGAATCGGATGACTCTCAGACCACCTCAACCTCAGGGCTGCTGGGCGATACACCGGTCGCCGGGGAGGTGGTGAAAGGGTGGCCTTCGTAGAGACTAAGGGAATCATCCCCTGCTCTAGATAAATACCTTGGAATCCAGCCACCCTCATTCCCTATAGTGGGCACCCGTCAGGTTTGTTTGGCTGCTTCCTCAAGGTGTTTCATCCACGTGTTGAGAGGGTAGAAGCCCTGGCTGCCAAGCATGAAGTATGTGAACCCGCTGAACCACAGGCATAGAGGCATAGTTTGGGGTGAAGGCGGTTGGATTTGTTAAGTTTATATATTCGCTCTGGGAAAGGGAAACACAATCTATATAGCCATAGAATGCCATCGATGCTTATCTTTCAGGTCGTGCAGAAAACAACACATGCGATTTGTGACCAGCTCAGTCACGAACTCCTCGGTGCTTCGTCTTCCATCCTGTGACGGACGCAGCGCAGGTGCAGGTTTTTTTTCGGCCAAGAGACCTCAGGATCCTGCGGGTCGCATGGGCCTCATGAGGGTTTCGATCCAGGATGGAAAATTCCATGGGAGCCTCATCTTCCATCGAATTCATTCCACATCCAATCCTCTTCATCTTCCATTCCATGGGTGGATCCCATTCCATACATGATCCTCGTCTCGTCCGTCCGGTCTCGACGGACCGCTCGACCTCCGAGACTGAGGCAATTGGCCACGATGAGTGCTACAGTCCACCTCTTTGACGCCTCATGGCTCACTCTGATGGCTGCTTTAACCTTCGCCAGTGCGTTGTGAGCAGAGACTCTATCCTAGACTTACAACGGACTCGTTTGAAAGGATGGTGAAGACCTCATATGATAAACTTTGGGGTATATAGCGGTTCAAGTGTTTATGTTTATCACGAATTGTTTCGAGCCTTGGAAGGCTAGGTAAATGTTAGACCGTTTTTTGGGGTACGCGAAGCAAAATTCTGGGGGATGAGGCTGCCCCAAAACAAACACCTTTTTTGCCAAGTGTATACTATGTCCCAAATTGTCCCAATACGCCGCTGCAGGGTATGCAAAAACGATTCCCTGTGTGTGGCCTCATCCGTCGGTGTTGCACCGCATCTGGATCCCTGCACCGCTCCTGGTTTTTGCCGTGGTCGTGTCCATCGCTGAAGCAGAGACCTTCGGCGCGGTCGCGCGCGGCACGGAGCGCGGCGTTGGGGAGCACGTTGCAGTGGGCGCGGTTTCTTGCGCGTGCCCCCCCATGTACAGCCTTGCGACGTTGGTGTGCCTAGAGATTGCGATGTCGGTGGAACTTGAATCAAGCAGGATGTTGGTTCGGTCTAGCAGTTGAGCGGCATGTTTAGTTTGGATTTGCCCCCTGCATGTTGAATTGATCACAGAGTCGGAAGAGTGTTTGCCAAATCGGCTTATGTTTCGTGTATACACATGATCAAATTAGGTACTGTATACCCTGGAAGTCCCAGGGGTATCCTTTGCACGCACGCAGACTTTCAGGTGGACACTGTCGGTCCTCGCAGGCAGTTGGACCGACAGTTGGTCGGAGCAAAAGGGAAGCTGCCGCTTTCTCTGTTGACCATCAATATCATGGACCATAAGTCTCTACCACTTCCCATCCAAATCCCATTGTTTGTATAATAACCATGCCACAGCATGCCAGTATTTGCTTGCTTCAAAACATGGACTTGCAGGTTGCAACTTTGGGTCGTAGGATGTGAAATCACTCCACGAGTGCAGCAACACCTGAGGCCCTCAAAAAGGAGTTCTATCCAAAACCCTTTTTATGACATTTTATGACGCAAGCACCATTCGTATCAGGATCATCCAATGGGTCACCAATGGACTGCCCTCCACTACTTAGGGATCTCGATTGGACACACATTGGATGGTCCAGGTCCAGGTATGTAGTTTTGAAACTTGGTGTTTGAGCTTTTAGGAAAGACCTCGGCCAAGGTTCCCCGCTTCCACCGCTTTCGCACTCGAATTGGGGTGCACCCTGACCTGCACAACGAAGCTCGATGTATTCACGGCGAAATCACCAGATTTCGAAGGCCAAATGGCCAGGTGCGCAGCCAAAGTGAAACGTTTCGAAGCCAAATGAATGCGCTGCTGGTCCATTGCATGTGGGTTTCCAGCCAATTCGAGCGATGGATGTGAGTTCAGATTGCAGACGCCCTGGGCAGAGTGGAGAGAGGCAGGTTCACTGAGCCCAGTCTTGGATCGACACAAAGGCACTTCCATCCTCAAAGAGCTTGGACACCAAAGACAACAGAGTAAACACTGGATCAACAGATCAACAAAATTCCTCAAAATTAATCGGTGAGCATGGACCCCAACAGAAGACAGATACACACCATGAAGAGGTCCAGAAGCATGACAGGGTTTCACTGAAGGGAATAATCCTCCAAAGAACACATATCAGATGTGACTCTGGGAACTGATTCAACATACTCATACCTTTTCGTACCTCATGCTGGTTTACTCTGTTCAAAACGTACAAGACTGCAGTTACCATCTTCAGGGTGGGACTTCCTGGTTGTTGTTTGTCTTTGTCGAGAACTTCCGTTCGACAAATGGTCAAAGGCCTTGAAAGCTTCGATGATCTCTACAGCATGCAGTCACTCTCAGGACCTATGGCATGTTCACTCATGACCCGGACTCCCACTCGACCTGGTTCAGCCAGACGGTCATCGAGAGCGAGGTCTGAGAGTCTGGGGTGTGTCAAACTGCGGACGTTTCATTCACGGATGTTTGCAGAACCTGTACATGATACGACTTTCCAAGACTGCTGAAATCCCAAGAAAGAAGGAACATGCACCTCTAAACATGCACTTGTCTTGACGCGAAGTGCGGAACCTCTCCTTCAGTGCAGATCAGTCGAATTGGACGAAACAAAAGAAGGACCTCTTTTTGCGGTCAGGTCAATCGGTGACGAAACCCAGGTCTGCGGGAAAGGATCCGTAGATCCAAACGGATGGGTCACAGAAATCCTTCTTCCGTGACCTACGGAGAGTTTGAGACATTAGACATGCTGTCAAGGTTAGATCCACTCGGTTAAGCAGTCTTATATGTACTTATTTACCGGTTCAGACGGTTCAGAGGGACTTTTGAGCAGCTTCCGGGTTTATTGAGCGAGACCTAGGTAGAGTCCTTCCATGTGGGTGTTAAACTCTGTGGGTGCTCCATGGAGAGATTCCCTGAGTCTAGTTTTCAGCTTGGATGTCAAGTTTCGTCGCCCCATGTCCTCTTCCATCCCAGATGCCAGTCTTTCTGGCGCGCTGTGAAACACTGCGGCGCGTGGGGCGCGTGGCCGGCAGGACACGGACCAGCTCTTTCAAGTCTGTGGCACTGTCATCGGCTTGGCAGTCCCTTGGTCCCCGGATCGTAGACGTAGACGTCTTTTTGACCGGTCCTTGGCTGGATGACGGTCGACGGTAGACCCTTGATCGTATCTCATAAGACTTCAGAGGTTTCACCATTCAATGTCCATGTCCCGGAAGGGTTATTCCCCTCCTAGTTTCAACATGTTTCAACCGCTGTACATACTGCACTCGCAACCTTTGTTTCTTGTGAATGGTTTGGGGTGCCAGGCTGCCATGGTAGGAAAGCGAAGAACATGTCGATAGAAACAGCCTTTAATATGTTCGAAGGGGCAAATCCAGCAGTCTGGTACTATCGTTGTAGCTTCTTTGGTACTATCGTACAATGGCTGGATGCAACTGCAGACCTGCGAACAGACACACGGACGGGAATGTCCCTGAGGGGTGGGATGTGTGGGAGGTGGAAGCGAAGGCATGGCCTCCGAATCGGAGATAGTACACGATGAACGCATATAATCGCATATACACTTTATAGGTCAGCAATTATATATATGTCAACAGTCCAATATAGAACATACTCATTGAAACATGTTGAAACACATCCGATTCTGCAGGTGTTTGGAGGATTTCATGAGATTTCATGGAAGCCGTCCCAGTGTCCGGACTGACTGTGCTTGCGTCCGGACTCCGCTGCCTTCTTCGGATCCAGCGTTTGCGGGCCGCGCACTGCAACGATGTGGTGATAGACGGTCGTCGGCGGTCGCCGGGGGAGGCGGAAGGGGAAGAGGGTGACACTGTGACTCACCCCAGGGCTCCAACTACCTGCTGAGAAGGTGGTTAGGGTGGGTTTGGGGATGTTTGGGGTGGTCTAACCACCGAACCTGAGGATATGGGACAGGAGCCCTAGGGCACGTGCCATGGAAGTGTCTATATTTTTGTCCCGAAAGGGAGACAGGAGACACCTTTCCTTTAAGAACATGGGCTATGATCTCCACTTCCATGCGATGTGTTCAGAGTGTTTCTTGCGGGAGAAGATGAGCGAAGATGAGACGGAAGGGTCTCGAGTTGGAAGGATTTTTCTTCGACGCATCACTCGAAATGAAGCCGTTTTTGGGGATAAAAGAGTGCCTGGTGGATTCTCCTCGCATGACCTGGACATGACTGGACCTGGTTTTGCTGCTGGGCTGTTTTGTATTTTCCCGATCGGTGAATATGAATACCGCCCCTCTTGGGGAGTTGTGTTTGTCCCGGTTCCTAGTTCAGCAAATCAAAGTGGAACGAAATTGGTTTTGAATAGATTGTAGGCCATTGTAGGCGCTCGGGAGCTATATCCAAAGGACCTGCAGGTTGTATGATGTTGAAAAATATGTTGTGTGTATAAAACTGTGGCCCAGAGTTTTGAAATGCACTTTGTTCCACTGACTGCTTTGGTTTCATCTTGTTTCAAACGAGGGGTTTGTGCAAGCAGGTTCTACTGACTGGCACAATGGAAGTAGCAGGGTTGAAGCGCTGGTCACCATACAGACTTCAGGTACAGGGACCCTGGGACCCTGTGGACCTCTAAAACCGGTACCTCCCATGGCTTCCGCAGGGCAGGCCTTCTTCCCCCATGGCGCCTTCCCCGACGTGGAGGAGCGCGAGCGCGGACCTGTCCACGGCGCCGAGCCATGTACTCTCCCTGGGATCCAGGCGAGATCTCGCCTTGGTCCACATGGAAAAGGACCCCAGAAATGCCCATTTGGGCCAAAGAGAAAGATACAGAGAGATCACGTGGATATATGAGATCGGCAGCGATCTTTTTTCAGAAATGTTCATGACATGTCATGTTTTGTATAAATGGTTCTTTTCATCAACAGGCGCAGGTTTTTCACCCATCTCAGAAACTTTCCGAACTGATTGGTTATATAGGTCTTTCTGACAATATTGCCCACATCCCCTGACATTGGCATCCAACCCCCCCCCTCAAACCCACCGTTTGGGTGAAGCACCTGGCATTCTGCAAGCAACTCGGCTTGGTGCTTCGCGCAGCGACAGCAGGTGCTTCGTGGCCAAGACCTTGGAGACGATGAATCTCCGGCGCTACGCGGGGCCCTTCGACTGGATCTACACCACGGCGCAACTGGTGAGGCGCGCGGGTCGGCCTTGACCGACCGTTCCGCGCTGCATGGGTGCCCGGTGGGGGGGCTGACGACGGCGATGTCGCTGTGAGGAGTGAACAAACATGATATAAACATACATAAAATACTATAGGTCTAAAAGAGAACCTCATGTCACTATATCCCCCAGATTGAACTTAAGATCAATTTCAGTGAATTCTGAGCATATACCATTTAGAACAGACGTTCTTGAACCCATCCACCGGCGAGTTCGAGGAACTGCGAGTTCGGCAAAGCGAGTTCGCGCTTGGTCCAGATCCACTCGCATCGAGGCACTGCATCGAGGATGACTTCGAGTGCTTCTTAGACCTGGAGCAGCTCTACCGGCACGGCCAGGCATGGGGCCATCGGCGCTACTGCCAGATGCTCAAGCGCCAGGCGAGAACATCCTGGCGGAGCGGGAGTGTGGAGGATGACATTTGGAGCATGTTGGGAAGTAGACTGCCAACGATCATGGCTAGGTTGATCCAATGGCGATGTTGGTGGTGCCATCCAAAGACAAGTCCGGTGCCATTCACATAGCCACGGTGATTTCAGGGAGTCTATGTGGTTTGCCAGGCGGCTCGAGCGAGATGAGTGGAGGATCCAAGGTTTTCAAGGGTGGACAAGGAAGTGCCGACCATAGGGGGCGGTGAAGGCTGAAGTGCTGAAGCGTTGTGAGGGCCGATGACGTAACTCGTGTAGACGTTTGATCAATTTGCGTTATTTGGATTGTAAAATCTATATTCATCTACCAGGACCCTCCTGTCGGGGTGTCCAATGAGCTACCCCACACTACCCAAAAAGGCTTTCATTGGGCACCCCTTAGAGGGTCCAGGTAGACAGGAGATCAGATTAATCAAAAAATCTTACATTGGAGCCTTTCAGAGGTGAAAGACCTAGTGCTGGCACCTTATGGCCACTGGCCGTTAAGGTCCTCCAAAGAGAGGCTGAGGCAGTAGGGCAGGTCGGTTCGTTCCACTCCAGGCTCAGTGTGTGGTAATGAACCACCCTGACTGGTGGACACCATAAGGACCTGCCAAAAAGGCTATCAGTTGCCTCACAGAGTGCGGAACTGGATGGAGACCCATGTAGGTGACCTTTGAAGCCCCCAAGCAACAGAGGACCGTAGTTCGACTGGATTGCCCCAAGGTGACCCAAACCACTGACAACACCCTCAAAAATCTAAGGCGCCATCTTAGCTTGAGGGCCTTTTTCATCTTCATCTCTCAGAGAACTTACCTTACCAAGCATGCCAGGGGAACTGCTGCCCACAATGAACCAAGGTTCAAGCAAGATCAAACGAGTGCAGCAAAGTCACACCATCAACCCATGCAGCTTCGCATGCCAGTGGTGCACAGTCGCCAACCATCACCACATGCAGGTGGTGCACTGGCTGGCATCAGAACCCTGAAATGTTATCTAACCTATTCTGATGTTGATTTGATTGAGTTGTACTGCATGCGATTTCGGAACCATGATAAGTTCTGGAAAGATCCCAGGCAAAGAGACAGCTTCTGAGTTGAGCCAAGGCCATGCCAAACCCCCGAAGCAGACTAGAATGGTCTTTCCCGAAAGCACATTTTACAAAGGTCCTGACCCCAGGTTTTCCGCTCCTAGTTCAGGTCCCTTGCACGTCCAGGACTGGACTGAGTGAAACACGCTGAGGTTCTTGTGCTTCTTTGACATGACTTCCCAGGTTCAGTCCAAGTATACGCTATAGATCCACCTGGTGGGAATCTCTTTGAGCCGTCTTGTTGTTGCCATCGTTTTGGCACCAAAACCAACACATGACGGGTCACATGGCTCCAGTCATGGCTCCCATTCCAAGACCGTGACCAGTTCACGCCTCCTTTTTCACCTGTTCGAATTGCATAAAGGGGTTTAAAGGGGTTCAATGTGAACTTTCAGCAAACCCATTTTTGAGCAGCAATGAAAGCTTGCAAAAGGCGCACCGGACCACACCCACCAGACCGGACTAAGCTGTCCTTTCCTGCTTTGCACGAGACCCCGCACGAGACCTGCTCGCCCCCGACGCACCCCCAACACCACGCCTCTCGACGCGTGCTCAGCGCCGTGCCGTGCTCGGCTCAGATCCTCTTTCCGCACCATCGCCCCGCTGACCGGGATCGAGAGCACTTCCAGCGAACGGTGCAACGCTGGCGGCAGGCGGATGGGGAGAGGATGGCACGGTGTTGGGAAGGCGGGTGGAGTGGAGGGGGTAATAGCAGGTGGAGGTTTGAGGTAGGGCTGGGTATTAGATGAGAACTGGCTTGCAATGGTCTACAAATGTATATTTGGAGGGTGGAGAGCATAGATTGAATCTGTTCCCGTTTGGGTGACTGGGGGACCACCCTCTTTACGGAGAGGCCTCCTCAAGGCCTGACTTCAAGGTGAATGCAGGATCCTTAGCGATCCATTTAGCCTTTTCAAGATGGTGTGTACCGGTTCCTTGTGCCTGTTGCACCCTCCATCCAAACATGGAAGTGGAATATGGCCTTGAAAGGAAGATTGTGTTCCTCTACTAACTGATGCCATCCACTGTCCATGATGGTTGTAGGGAGTGAAAAAAACATATTTGCCCCCCAGTTTTGCAGTCTCATCAAGCTTGTTGATGCTGGTCTCAACCTTTAACCTGCATAAGATCCTATAAGTCATGGAGCCAATGGAAACCAGCCTGGGTGCTTCTGTACGTTGCTGTTTGGAGAGTGCCATCCACGGCTGCCTGACGGCTGCTTCGTGGTTTGCCATTTCTGGTCCGTTTCAGAGGTGGTGGCGTCAGAAGAGAAGAAACTCTTCGTGTTCATGCAGCTTGGATCGATGATGTCGGCCACATATCCGAACACCCTGGGTGACTGGTGAGGAGGAACAAGGATGTCCACAGTAGAAGCATCCGGGTGAATGCGGCAATGTAGCAGACCCTTTCAGACATGGATTCATCGTTTTCTGCGGCCCTAGCTACTACTGTTGATGGGCAATTTTGCCGGGAAACGCTGCAATGATGGGGTACAACAAGTGCACGCATCCCAGCATTTTTCAGAAATTGCATGGATATCATGGATATCATGTACATGCATTTCAATTCCCCAAGTTTACAAGGATGTGGCATGGTGTGGCTGGCCAGGATGTGGCAGTAGATGTCACCGGCAGTTGTTGGTGTGGATCAGCCCAATAAGAACATCAGCGCCCCTCCGGACCCCTGCGAGTGCCCCAAGCAACACATGGGACGTAGGTCGACCGGACCTTAAAGCGACGACTCATGATTCGAGTGAGGTTCTTCTCCGCATTCTGAGCTGGGATGGCGGGACAATTGCACCCTTCACAGGACACTGACTCTGAGATGATTTGATCCTTTGCAGACATTTGTTGTCGAAGACTCCGGGACCCTTCTAGCACCCGGAACCGGGACCCTTCAGCCACGAGACCAACGCGTCTCAGGCCGTTGGTTCAATCCAAGAAGGAGCTGCAGAGCGTCGCTTGGCCCAGGTTTGGGAAAGGTTTTCCACTTCCATGTTGCTTCCAATCAAGGGTACTGTGTATGTGTTTTTTTTTCTGGTCATAATTTCTAGTGGGAATCCGAATTGGAATTGGGGACCCCCATCCATTGGGCAACATCTCCCATCCATTGACGGCCCATCCGTTCGGTCAACGTCTTAGGCATCCGGGAATCCGGTCAGCATTGTTTGGTTTCGGTTCTGACAGGTCATTTGCTTGAAACAGAAAAGGCACCCACTTGGGTAGTTGTTTGCGTCTTTCACCTCCACCCAGCTCCGTGTTTTCACCCAACCAAACCCGAAACCCAAAGCGATCGGGTGAGAAAGACCCCTTTCCGACACCTCCGAGTCGCATCTGCGGCGTGTTCAGCCCTCCCGGCCGGACGAGACGAGGTGAGGGACCGGGAGTCGATGCATGGGAGCAACCTCCAGCAAGTCGAGGTCCGGTTCGGTTTTGCTTTTGGGGAGGACGAGTGGGTGTCCCCAAGCGGCCGAATGGTATCCCCAAGAAAGAAGCGAGGATAGCAAGGCGCATCACCTGAAATCACCCAAACCGGTTTGGGTAATTCATTGATGTTGAGTGAGTCCGAGACATGCAGTAGCCGGGCAAGGCTTGTGGATCACCTGGCAAAAGCGCAAAAGCCGGGATGACCCCTTGGGGGATTGAGGGAGTTTCCCCACTATGACGCTATAAACAGGGAAATCGCTCGGGAGTGAATAGTAGAGTGACATGATGGATCGAACTGTGTTGTTCATCCAATAAGATCTTGAGCAGATGATTAGGCTGCGACGGTGAATCCACTATGACACGTGCTTCCAATCGACGGGCGGCGGCCTTTGTTGTCGCTAAGCTAGTGGAGTGAGCACTTCACAACTGGTTCTATATGTTAACAGAGAAGAAAGGTCCTGTGACGCTTCCACAGATTCCCTAGGAACGAGCTGCTGTGGTTGGCTGGAAGATTTAGGAGTCCAGTGGAGGCATTACTTTGCTTCTGTAGCAACTTGCACAGCTGCTGTTAACATGGCTCATGGTGGGTGCAGCAAATCCTGTTTAAAAGGTGGAAGGTCACCCGTGGAATTCTATCCTGACAACTTCACTTCATGAACAAGTTTATGCCAGGCTTACTTGCACTGATCAGCCCATGTGATCACATGTGTTTGTCTCCGTTTGGCAAGGTATGTCACCCTTAAACCGTCGTTCCAGTGTAGCAGTTGGGCTCCATTTCTTTACATATCTTTGCATTTTTACCCCTTCTTTTAGGTCGCCAGACCTTTCAAGTGCACTTGGCACTTGGGGCTCCAGGTGTACAACAACACCATACAAAACCTATACAAAACGTAAGCAGTGCCCTGTGCAGCTGCCTTTTTTTGCAGGAGCTCTTGAGAAGCTTGCGACAACGTGTGGGGAACTTCGAGCTTCTGGTGGTCTATGTGGTGGAAGGTCCGAACCTTCGTTCCGCGGAATCCGATGTTTGGGAGGGCACGTGAGGTTCTGCTTGGCTCATTCGAGTGGTTTATAGGTCATCGTTCTGATGTATAGGATCTAGATTCTACAGACATTGCATGATAAGGATCGTTTGTAAATATGACCCCAAAGAGCTTTACCTTTATGCCGAGAGATGTCACTGACCTCGAGGCTCGCGAGCTCGAGGCTCGCAAGCAATGCTTGTATTTGAAGACATTCGGATGTTCGCAGACTCAGCAGACGTTTCTTCATTGCTCCTGTTCGCAGACTCCTCCCCTCATCGGATCCCAAACTCCTCATCCAACTCCGGACCACTGGGACGGGCCAGGCTCCTCCCGCTGGCGCCAAGGGGCCATGGAGGACACCGAGTTGGACACCACGCGGGAGATCCTTCAACAGCAGCTTGGTGATGCTTTTACCGGTGCCCTCCAACTTCATTGCGGCCTCCACCCTAGTAGCGATGGCCTCCAACCTACTACATCTTGGCCTCCATCCTATAGGTAGCAAAAGGATACATCGCCTTGGTGGTGTTATCTTGTTAGAAACACATTCGCAGATCCACTCAAGACGTCGCATGGTGCTGTTAAGTGATTGATGTTCGAACTGATGCCCTCAGCTCGTCGACGACGTCGTGAGTCGAGAACATGTGTTTTGGAGGCGCCGAGACGTCGAACGAGAGTCGTCGAACGAGACGTCGAAGTAAGAAGTACTTGGAGTCCCAGGATGGATGTAGTTGGAGGAACCAATAGTCATTGGGACTCACTCTTGGACTATAGTCTTGGTTTCTCAAGGATGTAGTTGGAGCGGAGAAACCAAGACAGAATTTACCCGGGTGTAGGAGGACACTTGGCTAGGCGTATCGATCTTGGCCTTGGCCTCTTGAGGGATCTGCAGGGGATGGTGGCCTGGTGCGAAGCACTTCTTCCGAAGCACGGACGCGAAGTATAACTGGGTGATGTTAATCATGTTTCAGATCATCACTCTTATGTTCAACCTTCACTAGTGACGTCAGTGAGGCCTTTTTGTGTTTTCGAGTGAGCTGAAACCAAGCTATATGATATCTCTGAGAGTCAGACATGGCACTCTTTTGTTTGGATTCCTCCCCCGCTATCGCTCTCCCGGTTCTGGGCACAGGGGCTGTGCCATACCTTGGAAATGTGGGGGAAACGAGAGAAGAACGCTGCGAGTAAGGCCTGAGTTGCGCGTCTACGAACTTCATTGCACTGGGGGATGCACTGGGTTGAAGTTCAAGGCATCTTAGTTGGACGGCATGGCTCGGCAGGGACGGCAAGGATGAGGAGAATGGATTAGGATATTGGGTGCAGGTATGGTGTTGGAAGTTATCGGAAGGTGTTTGGAAACAGACACCTGGATAGAGCGGTAGACATCTCCTGACGTTTGATATCGTTTGATCATATTCCTCAGCTTACTTGTTCAGCCTCTTTGGCTTTGTGCACACATGCCCAATTGGTTTCAAAACAAGACATTGAGAGAACGGACCGAACTGACCTCTTTGATTATGCACTTGGATGCTCATGTAGATAGATGTCCAGGTGGAGTTACCACCAGAGACATGCTTTCAAGGAGGTCGAACATACCAGTTACCAGGAGGACAAAAGAATCACATTGTGCATGGCCAAGCTTCACCGCGACCCTAGGGGCAGTATTGTGCCACAAGGCTTCATGAACCTTCGTTACAATTTCCAAGAACTTGGGCGTTTGAAGGACAGAACGATGAGAAGCAAGACTTAGCATGTTTCAGGTTTACCGTAAAAGCCTCTCATTCTCATTCAAGGATGAATCTACATACTCTCCGAGGCGCCCGCAGATGACCTGGCACTTCAATCTCTACTAGCGGCCCGCTGTTCAGCTAGCGGCGTGCTGGCACCTGACCCACTAGCAGGCTCAGCCACTAGGATGCAACACTTGATGGGCTCTTCAGCGCCCGACGGGGGAAGCTTCAGAACCCGTGTGGAACTCTGTTTCGTTGAAGTCTGTAACCGCCGACAGGACAACATAGATAACCACGGTTTCAGGGGTTTCCAACATGTGCTCGAAATTCCATCGACGGGCGAAGGAGGCCGTTTGCATGCCCAAAGACATTGTTTGCACCGTGGTGTTTTCTTTTCTCACCTCGCTACCACAAGCTGTTCCGCCTCGTCGCAGCAAAACGCACCGTTGTTGTTTCCTGAAAAAGGCAATTCTTTGTGCCGTTTCGATGATCTGGGTGATCCCTGAAACCACGCCCATGGTAAATAGGCCAGTCCCATGGATGCTCAGTCAAAAGAGAACGAGCTTCTCGAAAAGTCTCATCTCGGCCAGTGTCAAGCGTTCAACTTGTTCTTTGGACGGGCATCTTTTGAATGGATCTGGACCTCCATGTCTATCATGTCTATTGGGAACACCAGAGTTAGCCTTGTTATTTGAGGGCGTGCTTTTTGCCACCCTATGATTCCCCTCTTATGCCTATTAATTAGGGCCACTATGAGCCATCCGTGCAGTCTGCTGCCGAGGAGCGTCGCTTTCATGGGTCCTTGCGGAAGAGCCTGGGGCGCAGGCGCTTTCGGTTGGGTGGTGACTATGGCGGAGGAGACGGCGGGGGATTTCCGATGTGATGGAGATCTCTTATGCAATGGCGTGTTTGGACACGTCGTTGATGTCCTGGTTTGCCTTTGTCTTGCCCGGCCGATCTGTTTGTTTCAACCTGTTCCATCTCCCTTGCTAGCCTATGTAGCTAGCTCATCGCTAACACTCTGGTTAGTCGATGGAAAACAAAACGCGGACCCCAAAAGCAGTGAAACCGAGAGCTTCAACCAGTACACACCGAGATAGCAAATGCCCATGTGGACAGATGTTGGCTACATCCGTCCAGTAGAATTTCAGCAATTTCTGCAGTTCTTCTTTTGTGATATAGGGTCTTGCCCCCTTGAGAATGCCTTTTGGGAGTGCTCTGCCACATTTATAGGCCTCAGTAGCGTAGTAGTTCCCCGGAATAAGCTGTTGTTGCGCATCGGAAAGCACCCACACAAGGGCTTTCTTGAAAGGCTTCAAAGCAGCATTGAAACAAGTGTTCTCCTCAGCAAAGCATTGAAACTTGTAACCACGGCGGAGGAAAAGAAACAGAAGTTCCACAAATCCCGTACCAACATCCGAGGCAACCCTCCATCGCAAAGTTCCCAAAAACTGAACAATGGTTTGAAAATCAGCTTCGGGCAACGTACATCGCTTTGCAGGCTTGTAAGAGCACATGGTAGGAACCCAAGGAAACTCACTCAACTTCGGATCCCAGTTCCAGTTGGGGAAACGCGCAACAAAGAAGTCTGGTTGTGTGCCTTCACATTCTTCCTTGGTCATGAAAGGCGTGCGAACGGGACACATCTCTCCAATTTCCTTATTCAGCTTTGCAAGATGGACCTGGTGTTGAAAGACTTGTTCATGAAGTCTGGTGAACATTTTTGGATCAATAGGCGCATTGTCAAGTGCAATACGCCGTGCACATCTGTCGGCACATTGGTTGCACACAACCTGCCTGCGTGTCAAACCAACAGATTGTGCCATTTCCTCTGTCAACAGAGCAGCAGGAACATGATCGAACGAATGGGCTCGAATCCAACAAAGCTGGAGTGGTTCTTGGACGATTATACAACGTTGTTTCCACACGTCAAGAATTACCTGCCACCATTCAAGATGGCTCATGGATTCACTGAGGGTACCTGTCTGCACCAACTTGTGGAATTGATCAACTACGGTTTGGCAATCCGAAAAAATCCTGATCCTACACGAACTCACAAGGAAGGCCATCAAGATTGCAAAAAGTTCTGCCGCATAGGAATTGAGAGCCACATGCAAAACTCTTCCAGCAACAATGGTTTCCTCATTCTCATTCACCACCGCATAGGCAGCAGATGTAAGCCAAAAGTAGTTCTGGAAAACAACCGAGCCATCAGACCAAAGGTCGATGCGTTCTCGCATCGGATCAAGGGTTTCTGCCAGTGGTAGGGTAGGCTGTTGTAGCAGCCGGTGACTGACAATACCAACAGGATGTTCACAAATGCCTGCAAAGTTGTTTCAACCTGTTCTTTTTCAGAAACCTTGCTCCACCAAACGGTAAAGGACCAAGCTCTGATGAATCAATCTGAACATCCAGTGTTCCCTGCATTGTGGATGTTGGCATCCTGAGCTGGTTTGTGTTTTTCGTGACGACATAACGATACTGCCGACTATACTGCGTACTCATGACCTAGGAGTTAGCGGAGGTACACCAAAACCATGAGTCATATGAAAAGGTACTGTTGGACCATTTCTTCATATTGGGGCAGTGAGAAAAACCTTGTGTCCGAAACCTGTTCCGACAGTTGTCATGATGGGACTTCCAGGCAGGGTTCCCCTACGTGTTTCCCACGTCTTCAGTCTATATAGGACATGTCCACCGTCCCAACACACATGAGTTAGGAGCTAGCCCAGGCAAGTCCTGACTCTCCCGACCACCACAGTCCTAACTCATTTGTGCCAAGTATAAATACTCCCCTTCCAATAAATAGTGCCGTTTTTGTGTGTGTGTGTGTGCGGATCAACACAAGTTCCAAACCAGTTCATAAAAACAAAAAGAACCACCAGTCGTTGGCAGCGCCATTTTGATTAATCGTTCATGGTTGTGGAAGTGGGTATTTCTTCCATATCATTTGATGTCATACACGAACAGTTTGATCAATGATGAATGTTCGATTAATCGTTTTGGGAATGGACATGCCACATGCGACAAGAACCAACAGCCTTGACGGCCTTGACCAGAAGTCTACGAGTTCTTCTTCAGTCCGCCCCTGCGAGCAGACTGTCAGGAGTTTGGGGAAAAGAATCTTGCTGCCTACAAGGGAGAAGAGAAGGAAAACCTCTGCAGTTCAAGACGCTTGGATGCGCGCAAAAAGTGCTTGGAGCCCTGAAAGCTGGCAATGGATTGTAGAAACCACACCTGTTGTGAGATAAGTCTTCAGCCTCATAGGGCTGCTCCGACAGTTAGTCCATGTTAGTTCCATCCACTCATGCGAATTTCGGAACAGTTGTTCGTCGTGACTGGGGGGAAGCCACCGGCTGCCCATCACTGTTCAAACCGGGAGAGGCAGGGGTCCTCGGAGGGCTACAAGTGAGTGTCATGATTCGTGGCCCGAGTTCCGCAGGTGAACGTAAAACAAAGTGTTTGTAATTCGTTCAACGGGGTGTCGTTGGGCAGCCAAAATTTGTTGTTTTCTCCCACATGATGGAAACACTGTTTTCTTTTAGCATCTTTTAGCCTTTGACCCCATGCTTAAGGCTTCACCCATTGATGCTGAAGCCGCTCGAAGAACCATTTCTGTTCCCGAGCTGTTCCTTTCTTTGGTCAACAATTGGAGTCGTACCAACCCCAAAAGCTGTACCTTTTTCTGGTTGCAAGAGGTCCAGCACTAGCACGATCTTTGGGGTCCTTCCTCCGATCCAGGCGCGGACTCCTTCGGCGACAAAGAAGATTCGATCGTGCCACATGTTGAGCACTGGTACTCCTTATCCGATTGGTCAGAGGGATCTCTAAGAGCTCGATGTGGCCAAGTCGCCTTAGACTCTAGTAACAAGAGGGCTAGTAACTATAAGTAACTAGAAGCTACTAGTAACAAGTGCATGGCTACTATAGTAACAGGTGCATGGCTACTAGTAACAAGGGCTAGTATCTAGTAATGCCATGTGCCCGGAATCCACCGTGGCCCCTGTGGGCCGACCGTCTAGAGACGCCGAGAATCTCATCGACCGTCGCACCAGGACGTGGAGACCGACGTCTCCAGCCCTCCACCGGAAGCGGACCCTCGGATGGAACAAACGGATCACGTTCCGGGCGTCACCCTGAGACACGGAGACATGGTGAACATGGCATGCTTTGCGGTTCAGAAATCGTGTGTCACCATTGAGGGCTAAACATGTTAAATTATTGTGAATGGGGTGATAGTGAATTTTTAAATTATACATGGTTCTCATTGAGTTGCCTGTGTTCATTCATCAAAATCAGGATAATCATGCGTTGGGCGTTGTAAAGAGATCGGATTGATTATTGTTTTTTCGGTGCGAGGCGCCAAAGCTTGTGCCGGCCAACTTCCGTTGGACCGTGGGACTCAGGATCCCCGCTTGAAGAAAAACTTTGGGCGGGAGAGCTCTGAACCCAGGTGCACCACGGGCAGCGGGGCGGATGTGTTGTTTGGCCCGTGGAAACAGGGATATAGTCTTGTTTGGCATGTGATAGTCCTATCAGGGATAGTTGGGAGTTCAGGTAGTTTGGATGACTTGCAGACGCGATCCGGAAGATACAATGTGTGAAGCACGCAAAGCATGAATGCAGACAGTCATGCGATTGCAGTTGAGACTCATGGGCCATTGGGTAATACGTCGACGTCCATTGCTGATTTTTTTGGGGAAGCAGCCTAGCAAGTTAATGTCCTTTAATCTTTGAGAGGCACTCTTTCTCCCACACTTCACAGAGCCTTCGCCCGAATCTCCCAGCTGCTCTCCTCGTGCTTCGTCGTCCTATGGTTGGCAGTTTTCTCGCAGGAGGCGGGCAAAGAATGTGGAACAACTGCCAAGCAAGGGAAAGAGGAAAGCTCAAGCTGATGAGTCTTGGCCATTCACCTCTGAAACTGAGGCCACACTTGACCCTGTAGGAAAACTCTCAACAAATGTTGCAAGCGGAAAAGCGGAACTGTTTGGGCCGGCCATGCCATCATACGCTAGCCCAGCCTTACATGTCACCAAGCGGGTGGAGCAGGTGCTTGTAAAGGACCAGCTGTTGAGTTCGTAGAGTGTAGCTAGCTAGCTGCTCAGGACGGCTCGCCAGGGTATCCAGTTCTTCCATCATATTCCCCATGAAGGCAGCCGGATCTGGGCAAGATGTTCCAGCCGCTGCAGCTGCTCAGGGATGTTGAGCCACCTCTTTTTTCGGTGCCCTGACTCTGGAGAGAGTGTATGGGCATGAAACACAGCAGTGACTCTTCTGGTGCCACCAGAATGGCCGTTCCAGTGCGGATCTCTCCGGTCCCCTTTGAATGATGGGTGATTCAAGCATCGATTGAGCACACAGTGCATCATATACAATACTGATCATGGCAATCCTGCCATACACTATATTAGTATGTTTCAATCTGTGTTCTTCAAAGTATTCGACTGATGCGTGTTTCTTGGTTTTTGTCAATCTGTTCCCATCTCAGAAGTCTGGTAAATCCTCATGGGTAAGGTATCATCTATGTGGTTCCCCGGCTTTTGAACGCTTCACCCAGGATGCCGATCCGAAATCGGAGGACGATGTGATCCTCGTCTCCGTGAGAGGAGCGACTCCAGCTGCTTCGGCTCCGGTCGTGGACCGTGGAAGGTCTGAGTTCTGAACCCGACACGAATCCATATGGACCCGATACCTGGTCAACCTGGCCACCGAGTGATGAACTTGGGGGGTATGACCATGGTATGACCTAAGGTTGCTTTAACTCGAAGAAAGATCATGCACCGTACTAGTCCTGCCTGAAAGTTGATGTTAGACATCTATAGGCTTATATATGTTTTTCCGGCTTGGGTGAATACAAACGGGGAAGGAGGTCCAAGATGGTACCATGGTCCATCGATACGTCCTAAGTTGATGTCTCATAGAAACATGACCACCGGAAGCTGCCTTGGAAGATGTCCAAGAAGCAGCCTGTCAATGAAGGATCCAATGACCTTGTGGATGTTTTAAGACCCTCACCCTGGGACCCTGTTCGCAAGACTGCTGCTGGATCGAAGAGTCCACACAAGTCCAGGACCCCTTCCCGGAGTCCTTCCGGACCCGAGCTCCAAGCCTCAACGAAAGACCTGGTAGGGATGGAAGGTATACTCGAAGGTTTCTATTTTTGACATTATTTTTGTTCAGATCCTTAGAAAATGCTCCTCCCGTGAGCTGCAGCTCTCAAACTGTTTAGTGCGTGTTTCAGCTGAGGCCGCTCCTCGTGTGTGCCAGGGCTCCCCGGGGAAGCCAATGGGAGTACTGGACATTCGCGTGGCACTGCGAGCAGTGCAAAAAGGGAGCGCGTGGCGTGTGTTTGTGCGCAGAGGAAACGCAGAGATCGTGGCACGGCTGAGTTGTTGTGACCTGGAGCAATGAGGAATTGACCTTCTTTAAATCATTGAAAGGGGAAAATGACAGGCAGGTTCTTACTGTTGAAACTATATGAACTGTTTGTCACAGATCAAAGGGTAGAAGTCAACTAGAATCGTTGCAAAGTTACCAAGATGTTTAAGGGTTCCTTTGAACCCTAAGTGTCAAGTACCCTGCCAGCTTCATAGGCACAGACCCTGAAAGAACCTTGGATCTGGAAAAACGCTTTCCTCTGACGAGCAGCCTGGGGCCTCTGATAGCCGTGCACTTTTTATAGATCTCCAGGATCCCATCGCTGGCATCGCTTCGATTCACTTCCGCTCTCACCAAAAGCACACACGAAACGGGCTACCTCGGTCGTCGATTCCCGTGCCGTGCGGCACAGGCGCTCGACTCCTGAGGTATATAACAACGAGCACGGCATCCAGATCCACTTCCCGTTGGCCCTGTTCAAGATGCTCAAAGGCCCCGACAAAAAGAATAGAGTCAGAATAGAGGCAAAGAGGACACAATTCATACACATCAACGGACCAGCCCATGGCAGCCAGAGATCTGGCTGGCGATACGCATCCGCACCACATGCCTTCCGGACCGGACGCTGAATTCGACTTCCAGACTGGCCATGCCATCGCCCTCCGGTCGTCCTCCGGTCGTCCTCCGGTCGCCGTTGTCGAGTTCCACAGCCAGGGGAGTCCTTGTCCTTGGCCGACCTCCAAGACGTTCAGCCCAAGGCCAGGGAGTTGTGGAGACGTGGAGGGGAGGAAGAAGGTGATCCACATAATTACTGCATGTGTTGTTCATGTTGTTCCTTTTTTACAGTCCGGGCTCCAACCATATCTTCAGGTCTCAGAAGGTGGCTAGACCCCCATGGCACCCACCCCTGGCCCACCGAACCGAATTTGAGGGGGCGGCCAGGAGCCCCTAGGGAGTGATCCCTCAAGGGGGTTTAGATATCAATCTGTATCATGGATCGATGTTCCGTGCTGTTCCAACCTTCCTATGACAACACATGGCTGCCGAACGGCCGTGGCCGCCGTCCATCCTGCTTTGGGGGAGAGGGATCGGAATCGCGATTTGCTTGGGGAAAAGGTCGACCGGGCGTGCGTTTGATCCCAAGAGTTCCCGCAGTCCATTTTTAAATGGTGTTGGATCATTTTTTTCATGACCACTCGCCAACGCAAGGCCAAAGGACGCGTGGTATACAAGTTTAGGCTTCCTGTGCCGTTGGATCCTGGTCCTTTGCGTGCGCCGGTTGATCCTTTCTGTGCAGGTCTGGATGTCTATTCAGCAGATGTTGTCTTGGGAGCCATCAGACCCTGCACATGCGAACCAGGAGTTTGAGGACCCGAGGGACAAACAACCGTACCACCGTGCCAGCAGGGTGGAGCTTGCGGTACTTGGTAGAGAGGTCTTAAGGACCTCCCTGTGGTAGGGGATCAACACCAGAACTAGTTGGCACATTGGGTATTTAGAGTTGTTACCCCCCAAAGTATCCAAACATAAAATTAATTAGTTGCTGGCGGTACAGTATACAGTTTGATCGGCCACACACCATTTCTCATCTCGCCAACATTATTTGCACTGGAAAAAGGAAACACAGAACGAATCAAGAGCATAAACACTTTCCCTCGTCAAGAGCAGTCTAGCCTTCTCTCCGCTGGCCTCCACTTGCCCCGTGCAATGTGTTTCGGCTTCGAGGACACCTTCTGCTTGACCTTCAGTGCTTCTTACGACTACTTTGGTGCCTTCGATGGAAACTGATCATGCTTCGATGGGATCGGACCAACGACTTCATGTCACCAACGACTGATGCCGAGGAAAGTCCCCCGGTCCTGAAAACTGTGTCGTGTTTTTACAGACCTCCAGTGAAATGAGCTCCAACTGACCTTACAGAAATAAGTGTCCATTTCATAGGCTTCTTCGACCGTAGCTAGCTATACGGGTCAGTACACTGGTCAGTACTTGAGACACACAAATGATCACCAATGCATTAATGACAAGGGTTTGTCAGATGTGAATCCCGACAAGATCAACCCGTCTTGGCAGGACGGCCCTCACCGGTCCCGGGCTTCATCGGTCCCTCGGTCCTGAGCTCGCGTCCTTTGAAGCGAATGAAGCACGTGGACCAAGGAGAAATGAAGCACGTGGACCTGAAGCCCGGCGGCGATCTGCCCGTGACGTATGACACCCGCAAGGAATACGTGGCTTGGGCGATGCCGGAGGAGAGACGCGGTTGATGGGCCAACCGGGAACACGGGCGTCTTTCCAGGGGTGCCTTCTAGCGGCGGTGGATAGGGCGGTGGAGGAATTTGGTAGTATACAATATTGTAAGTATTAATATTAGCATCGGATGATGATTAAATCGATTTCAGACATTCTACCGATTTGACATATATGGGACATTGGTTGTTCATGTGGGAGTTTGGGGGTGTCCTATCATTTGGGAGACCTCAGTTGACCAACCGATCCTTTTCGGGCTAGGACCAGACGAGGACCGGAGGAAGCCAAGGGCTCTGCCAGGCGAAGAGCTCAAGGTGTCACAACAGAAGGTGACACGTGTCCAACGTTCCAATGCGCGTCCGCCGAAGGAGGAAGGACGCGGAGGAAGGACGGGGAAAAGCAACATGTTCCAATGTGGTCTGTTCGAGCACTTGTTAACTTGTATGGGTTAACCATGGTTAACCTATATGTTGTCTTGGTGCCTTCCGTTTTGTGGTGATCCGGTCTGCCTGTCTTCAGCCTTCGTCCCTCCGAAGTTCGACCACCCGGGCCGTTCGAACACCACGGAGCTCCGCGTCGCAGCTCAGTCGGTCTACGTTGCGATCGTCGCGCGATGGTGAGGTGGAGCTTTATTGTCGCTGGCGGTTGGAGACTTCGACTGAAAGGCAATTCAAGCTGTTGGCACAAGGCAGGGGTCGGGGTCCGAGGTCCAAGCTCCTGTCAACGGTCGCTTGATGAGACTTCTTGATGTGGGTGATCCCAAACCTGGACAGATTTAGAGGGCATGTCCTCTATGGTTAGTTGGATAGAAGACAAAGAGCACTCTTCGTAGTCTGTGTTAAATGGCTAGCCTCATTAGCTTTGATACCCGGAACTCAATTCTTTAGCATCGAAGTGACATCTTTCAGCCTTCGCCGATCGATCAGCTTCCCCAGGCTTTGAGAAGGTCGTGGACTCTGCCAGGGAAGCCCAGGTTGTGTGCACGAAGTGCGGTGCAGGAGCTCCCCCTCCGAGTTGCTGAGCAAATCGCTGGGCCGAAACGTGACGGCGTGGGTCGGTCGGTCCTACCACCTGAGGCGTACCGACAGGAGCGAAAAATGGGTGAATTTCCCCTGCAAGTTCAATCATTGTACCCTAGGGCTCCTGGCCGCCCCCTCCTGAGGTTCGGTGGTTAGGGTAAGTGCCAGGGGGTTTAACCACCGAACCTGAGGATATGGTTGGAGCCCTAGGGGTATTGAATTTGGAGCTGACATGTTCTCCACTCCACCTGAATTTTGTCCACCTGCCTTTTCAGAGCGTGGTTTCAGCTGTGAGGAGGTGTCGGCAGATGAGTTGATCTCCACCAAGCCTACGTAAGTGACCCGCTGAGTAGACTTTGTGTAGCAACCGTCCAAACTTGGCCCTTGGCAAGGGGTCACTGGGATTTCTAGAATATGTTGGCCTTTTCCACATAAAACAGTCAAGACCTCATGTCTGACCCAGTAAAACCATGTAAAACCTGGTCCAAATGACCTCCATCTCCAGGTCCAAATGAGGTCTTGACTTGTAGGGTATCAATGTATCGCGTCGGACCATGGACACCGGGGTGGGTTTCCTTTGGTCGGCGGTCCAAGCATGGAAGCCCTGGTCACATCAACTGGATGGATCACAACCCGCCATCCCAACTCGATGGAAACTCATGGGCCCTAAGGATCCGCACCCTCAAAAACAAGGGTTTTGAGGGTACATGAGGGTACAAACCCTTGTTATAGAGGGTTTGACCCCTTCTAAGGAGGGTCCAAGGATCCTTAGGGGGATAAGAATGCTCTGTTGGGAGCGATGCCAGTTTCGCCCCGTTCGAGTCGCGTCCGATCGCTCCGTTCGTAGTAAGGCCAAGTAGTTACTAGTAGTATAAGAATGCTTCCTTCATGTTCCGAAGCTCTTTTGGACAGTACCACTACCCCCTAAGAGTCCAGGACTCAGACTCCATTCTAAGTGGTGGATTCTGACCAGGTGAAGTTAATATTGGTCAAACATGGAACCTTCGGGGCTTCCAAAAGTCACCAGCTTCTGAAGAAGACGGCTCCCCAACTCCCAACTGTGTGACACCTTGCCTTGGTCCTTTTGGTGACCTCCAACGGTAGATCTCAAAGGGTTCCTTTGTAGATCCCAAGAAGTCCTCCGTCGGGCCGACGTGGCACCAGAAGAAAAGCGACGCCGCGGGCGGTTGGGCGTGGCGCTGAGGCCCTGTGGTCCTTTCTCTCCGCTGAAGAGGTCGCGGGATGGGGATGGGGTCGCCATGGAGGAATATGAGGAAGAGAGGATGAGTGAACTATAGGATCTAAGATCTTTTTGATGATTGGCGAATGGATTTCAGAGGCTCTCTGAATTTACATTCCACAAGTCGTTCGACATTTTTCGGTATTTTGCGAGGGTTGTGAGCATCTGCTCTTCCGGTTGACTGCCAGATGGGGCCAATTTGCAAATATATAATTGTTTCATCAATCGATACGATCGTGTCCCCTCCCTTCGTCTCCCACAGGAGTGTTCAAAATCCATAAACCCTGCTAATTAGACTTGACATCGCAAGCATAAGACATGAATGATCCAGTATTCCCTCTAACATGAATGATACACAATTTCTAACTAACAGTTGCATCCAAAACTGAAAAAAGACAACACCTGACATTCTACTTCATGTTTCGGAGATGATCCATCTCCGATCTCGCCCATCCGTCCCATCGATTCCCAGCTCGAGGCGCATCTCATCATTTGCTCCGAGCCCACCTTGGAGGCTTCGGAGCTTCGGCACTTGGCGCACTACGAAGGCGCGGAAGGAGCAGAAGCAGATGTGAGGGTTGAAGACATGTTGAAGAATAGTTAAACCATAAAATCAAAGCATGTAATGTACCAGGACACCCTAAGGGGCTTCTATTGATACCCCCTTCCATGTTAAGGGGTGTCCATTAACCACCCCTTGTGGGTCCTCATATGCATCATTGAATAATATCTAAGTTGATATGATGAATCAAATCGAACTTAGATATTCTCGGTTTGGTTTGGTCACAAAGGTTTGCCCATACAGGTGACTTGGACTCCAAGGTCAAGTATCAGAAGCTGGTTGTTTCTTTTTGGGAGGCCATCACTAGTAGGTTTGAGGCCATCACTTCTAGGTTTGAGACTTGGGATTCCTTGTTTCTTTTTTGGTTGTCTCCATTTGCTCAAACTCAGCCATTGCGCACCTTTGTTTCACCTGAACTCCACCATGTCTTTTCAACTCCTTCCGCGGCAAGAATTCCGTTCGGCTTTGGTGGAGTTGCATCATGGCTGCTGCTGGCCACGGATTGTCTATGCCCTTCTCATGATTGACTTCCTTTCCCACTTGACCATTGTCATGCTAGCCTGGCAAAGTACCATCTTGGTGCTGCCAGCCTACTTGCTCGTGCATTTGGCCATGGCGGTGTACATCCTTGGCGCCAAGGAAGCACTGGCACCGCTCTTCTGGTTTTTCCCGCGACGAAGCACATTGCTGAATTTGAGGGAGGACATCACAGGGCCCACGCACAGCAAATGGTGGTACATGATCAGCTATGGCCTGAGACTCGCTATGCTGGCTGGATTTCTCGTTTGCTCTGCAGTCATGCCACTCAAGTTGAAGAAGATCAACACCTTGTGGAAGATTCACGAGTCTTGTTCGCAAACAGCTCACCATGATTGCGAAAGCTTGCCTGCTTGGCTGAAGCAGGCCTGGTGGTCCTCAGGGGCCACTTGTTTCGTCCACTTTGAGTGGTACCAGAGCTGCCTGGGAGGCCTTCCCTGGTGGTTGCAGGCCTACTGCGATTCTGATGCAGCAACTTGTTTCGCCACTTCTTACGACCTGTCCAGCCTTCTTTGCATCTCCATCTCCTTATCCTTGATGTTGATGCTTCTTCGGAGGCTTTTGTCCTGGATTGGTCGCTGCTTCCAGACAGACACCTACGACTCATTGGATTTCGAGGAGAGAGGCCTCACCGGCCCGTCACTCCAGGCAGACGCGAGTGAGGAGGCACCAGACCTGTGGGCTCAAGCAAGAGTGTACCGGGTCATCCTTCTGCTTTTTCTCGACCTCTTCACCGATGCCATGGGTGTGGTCCAATATGTCTTCACCGGGAACCTGAGCTTCGCGGTCATCTCGGCAGCCATTCTCGGCACATTTCTGGTGCAGCAGGTGCGAGGAGGAGGCGGCTGGTTCAGGTTCAAAGAAGAATCTTTGGAGTCTCTGAAAGTCGGCAAAGTAACCGATGGCCTTCAGATCACCTCTCTTTCCCAACAGCTCGTGGTTGCCCCGTTGCAGCTCTTCTTGCAGTCCTACAGTGTGGAGTTTGTCTCCTCCAGCAGCTTGGTGCTGGTGTCCTTGAGTCTTTCGATGTTGCTGAGCTTGGTTTCAGTCGCAGATGCTGCCTACACGCTCTTGGAATTGGATTTGATGCTGCACATTCGTCGCCTGAGATAAGAGAACCGAAAGACCCTGAAGAGTTCGGCTAAAGCTGCACGAAGAACTGCGGTGTTTGGGTTGGTTCTTCGGGGTCTTCGATGCATCGTGCATGAAAATGGTGTCGGAAGCTCCTAGGGTCGGCGCGCCCAAGCGGCCTGGAAGGGGTCACGGGTGGGTCCTATGGTGGGGTCCACAGCAACAATAGGTGATGGTTTCGGATATTTGTATTTTCAACCCTTACTTGGGGTTGATTGGACCTCTGACTCATATTTTTCAAGTGGGTTGAAAACACCAACCAGAATAGTTGTGTTTTTCTCCGAGATGCATGAAACTCAACTAGGTTTTCACCTGGTATCCTTCGGAGTGCTTTTCCGCGGCGCCCCTGCTCCAGGGCTGATGGAACTCAGTTGATCTACTCAAAAGACACCCACTCGACTCCTCTTGACTCCTGTTTTGATGCAAGAAGATCATACTTTGGGTGGCTTGTGATCCAAAATAACTACTAAATTGGTCACACAACACTCACAATTGCGTGTATATAGATCTATGACATCCAATGAATACATGCACGTCAATACATATACAGTTACATGATACTGTTGTCCATTAATTTGGCCTCCCCATATCCCGCATGGCAGGCTATTCCAAAGATGATCCATACATCCAGGCACAGATTGCGCAGTGTGCGCCTAGTGAGTCAGAGAACTGGGAGAATTGGTGCAGTCGAAGTATTCTTCCTGCCAAAGCGTACTCCAACGGTTCTATTTATATGACAGCTGCAGGTGTTTTTATCACCGATTTTTGGTGCATTGGTGACCCTTACTGGTGACAGGTTGACAGAAGTCTTTAGGATCTAAAGAACAACTTTATTCTGGACCTGAGACGCTCCGTGACCTCTTGGGAGCGAAGTTTGGCCTGGGGCACCCGTGATCGAACTTCCTGGGATATCCAGTGGGATATGGCATTCGACCCAAGTCCTGGTCTACCCTAGCAGCTAGCGGTCCGAAGGATGAACCACTGAACCACTGGAAGAGTGCTCGTGCTCTTCCTGGCTGCTCATCTCTGGAGCTTTGGACCATGCCGTTTCGTCAGGATTTCCACATGCTCCATCCTGGGTAAAGGAGACGAGACACCCACACCAGACACATGGAAAGCACATGGAAGCACCATGAATTGGCCGGACCAATATATTCTTCGTGCCGGTGCCCCAGTTTAGCACGAAGGGTTGGGGAGGTTCTCCTAGGCCTTGCAACTAGGGAGACCGGAGGCCTTCCATTTCGATTGCCGTGGAAGAAGGATAAATAGATCAACACCCACTGGTCGGGTATCTCCCCCTCCCCATTAAAATACACGTATACTATAGCTAATGCATCCATTTTGAGAGTCCGTGGCTTCGGTCCGACCTCTCCCTTTGAGACGAGTCACTCTCCGCGCTACGTACGCGCGCGGAACTGCTCTCCGCGCAACGCCCCAGTCCTTCTGGAAGATCTTGGAGTCCTTCGAGACGGATCAGCTCAAGAAGCTCCTTTTCGGAGGAAGATGGGCCGGGCCGGGCAAGGCCCCAAGATGCCGAAGAGGATTTGTTTCAAGATGCACCCGGGAAGAGCATCCTCATGCATCCTGTTTTTAAACGAGGAACACGTGATTTGTTTGGAAAGGGCTTTGGTGTTTACCAATCAGTATATAATTATGTGTTCCAAAAAAAACATATTCCCCACTTCCATGTTGTTCTTTTCTCCATTGGACGCTGTGCCCAGGGTCCAAACAGCAAGTCGTTTTCTTGTAATTTGTTTGGAGGCTTAGAAGAGCTTTGGGTCTTTAGCAGTGTGGCTGAAGCAAGGCTCCTGAATTATCATTTACTGCCATTTACATAGTAGATAGGTAAAATGCATGAAAGTGCCTTAGGTGTTTGCATTTCTCGGACCCTCACACCATCCCAACAAACCGAGGTTTCTGGCCTTCACCACGGGCACGGACCGCGCGCCCTTGGGCGGCTTGAAGGATGTGCGCTTGGTCGCTCCTGAACCGCAGCCAGGGAAGATGACGGGGGGGACGAAAAGGCCCAGCAGGGACAAGTGGGACTGGAAGGGATGAATATAGGGCTGCGGAATACTGTGTTTTTCAAATTCCTTTCCTAGATGTTCTCCTTGACTCCCCCACAAAAGAAACACAATCCTGTCTTTTTTGGGGGGGTGGAGGGGCCTGATGAATCAAGAGTCCACATAAGCTCCTAAATATCCTCGATCCATCCCATTCCACCCCGATGGATGTCGCTTTTGGCAGTCCCAATGAGGGGGGTGGGTATATGATGCGCAGAATTCCATGGGGCTTCGCAATGCAACATGCAAACATATAGCAGCTAGCATCCAGGAATCCCTTCGTTGTGCACACCAGGCTATTTCAGTCATTTTTCTGTTCCAGCTGTGGAATTCCAAAGTTCCACGTTTCTTCCCACGTCACCTCCGCTTTCTGGTGGGACCAGGCGGTCCTCATGTGGGGGATCCCCGGATCAGATCCGGGACGTTTCGCCGTCGGGTTCGCCGTCCGCTGCAGCGCTGCAGGTGCAGAAGCACGGCACCGAGCCCACGAATCGCTTGCCCTCGGCGCAAACGTGCTTCAACCTGCTGTTGCTGGGTCGAATCGGACCGACCGGTGGGTTTCCCGCTCGGCGCGGCAGTTGGGGAGCGCAGTTGGGAGCAGATGGCAGTTGGGAGTGTGGCACTGGAGTGCCTCTGGATGGGCCAGATGGGATGAGTGGAGGGGAAGGAATGGCAGCAGTGGATCCATTGCGTCAAAACGTGGCACCTGTCATAAGCGAGAAGCCGAGAACCCAGAGAGAAGCTGATGCCGAACTGCACGGCTGCGGTGCACTCCCAAAAGTGGAACATGTTGTTTGGCATGGAAGTCTCACACACGAAACGGGGTCAAGGAATTGTTTTGTTATGTTGTTTGGATATGAAACGCATCAAGTGAGTGGTTTTCTCACCTGGGCCATTGTCGACTAGCCGGTGATTTTAGACTAGCCGACTAGCAGAATGTGGTTGGTTCTCGGTGACAGTTTCAACCGGTTCTGGATCTAATTAGTTGGTTCTTTGGGACCCTGCTGCAATTCATACAGGTTGTTGTGTTCAATAGTTCTTGCTTCAACGATCTGTATTGAGACCTTGTGATACTGTTGAACATGTTTGCGTGAACATTCCTTGGGTAGATGCCTGTTGACCATTCTACTGCTTGTGGTAGACGTCGGTGTTCTTCTTCACCAAGAAGAATGTCCGAAGATCCAAGCCCTGTAGGTTGCTGCCACAGTACGAGTCCGCGAAAAAGATGGAGTGGCCTGGTGGAGGATTTTTTTTTGTTGGGAGTGGATACAGCAATGGTATGGATTTGGTGGTCAACATGTTGTTTCCACCAAAGGAGCTGCTAGAAAAACGAGGTTTTGTTTTAGATTCCTTCAATTAGTGCGGATGATTGCGGATGGACATATTTTGATCATCACAAGTTCATTAACTGGTGTGTTGCCAAGTGGTAGCAGGAGTTTGGCTCTTTCGCAGGCTACAGGAAATTGGTTGTGTTTGAAGTACGGCCATGGTGAACACAAGGGGCAGCAACACTCACAATATGTTGAACATACACACACTTCACTAGACCTCGATGTGTTTTCACATCGTTTGCTTATGCCTACAATGCATGATCATGCCAAAGCTCACGTGCATTCCAGCCAGACAGGGGGGCAAGTGGGAATTACATGCAATAAGATTGTTGACTCCGTTTTACTCGCTGGCGAACAGGCTTCATTCCCAAGGAGCACTCGAAAGCCTCAAAAAAGGGGATCCCTCCATTAAACATCGAAGCCTCAGTGCTTTCATCGAAGCGCAGAGGAGTCACTCCAATGTCAATCCTCCGAATCCAAAAAGGGCAGTCTTCCCAGGCAATCCTTGCTCCTGGCCATTGAAAACTCCGAGGGCTTTGGACTTCAATAAGGTCGGGCGCCCCAGCCGATCCTCGATCTCTGTCCGACCGCAGCAAGGGCTGGAAGGCGTTGGTGCGCCAAGTAGTAGTCAGTCATGAATCTTATAGAGGACTGGATAGGAACCTGATGAAACACCCAAAAAAGCCTCTCGCTTTCGTGAACCATTGTGAACCGGCTGAACATCCGCAAATAGAGTTTGGTAATAGTTTGCTATTGTGTTTTGGTCATTTTCCGTGTCCAGTGTTTTTGCCAAAAGAATATCCAGTTCCATGGATTCCCATATGGAGAGTTTGGGGCACTTTTGCCTAATCATGGAGCCTGAGAAAACCCCGCAGCGCGGCGAGTCCTCTGGCCCCCAAAAAGCGATCCGCTTTCGTACCTTCGAAAGCTGATTGCAGACGCCTGACGTCGGGTCCAGTCGTAACGAACTGACTTCGGTACGGTATATCTATCCGATTTATCCCAGCTCAGTCCATGTATGACCCCCTAACGCATCCCATATGTAGGTCGATATGCCAGATGCTCCATGGGACTGGCATAGGACTGCCGCGCCAGACACCACCCCCACCCCCACCAACTCTCGGCAGTCCGTCCTGGCAGTCCCAGACGGGTCGCGTTTGGGTATGCCCCAAGGGTCGGATCCAGCGGGCCGATCCCGGGCCGCTCGCTGACAGGCAGCTCCAGCTCCGCGAGACTGTACCGGGCTCCACCGGTGCACGTGCGTGATCGTAGTGCTGTCATCGTTGCTGTGGGTGGACATGTCAGAGAAGTGGTGGCAGCACGTTGACATGTCGCTCGTTTTGCGTTTTTGCTCGTCTTGAACATCGGATCCTCCAAGTCGAGCCGTGACTCCAAGAGCCTGACATGTCAATCCGCAGATGTTTTTCGTAGGAAAGAACCCTGCATTCGTGCATCCGGTGAATGTTAGCAGTGTGTGTGTGTGTGCATTTTTTTTGAAGCTAAATCAGAAGATGGATTGTCCAGGACCCAAATGCAAAGGTGGGACGGTCAATCTATGTGAATCTCACTACTACAATCTCATTGATGAAGATACTTCATCCCATCACTCTTAATTCATCCGAAATCATCAGAATTTGTACGCTTCCAAGGCATGCGAAATCAACATTTGGTGGTGTGATGCCGTCACTTGGGAGAAGCATAGTCTGATTAGAGGTAGTGGTCGGTGAATCACCTGGTCGTTGTTGCAGATTCCACACTCTTTGCACGGCGAAGCCTGCAGGCTTCTGCAGGCTGGACGCACGGCGTTCCCGAAAACCAAAGCGACAGAGACGTTGGGATCACCCCCCAACCGGCAAGAAGGCTGCTTTGCTTGGACACTTTCACCGGATTCGCTTTCCAATAGAAAGACAGCAAAAGACCCTCTTAAGATCTCTGCGTGAGAAATGAACTGCTGGGCTGCGAAGCTGTGAGTGCAGGCGGAGCGACATGAGTGCATTGGTTGGTAGCGCGACAGACTGGGTGCCCATGTGGATTTTGTGCAGTATCAGAATGTGTTGCTTAAAGTGATTACTTGTATGTAGTATGCATATAATACTTATGGATCTAAGTAGGGAATAGGGAAGCCCAGCCACTAATTACAGAGGGGCAAGACGGCAAGACCCAACTTCATCACTCCCTTGACCAACTTGATCCTATTGAAACCTGCGGAGCTATGGCCGCCATATGGCCTGCACCACACCCCTGGAGTGGTGCACGCGGTGGGTCTGGTGCGTCGGAGCTTCGACACGGAGCTTCGTCCATGGTCGAGTAGACTTTTCAGCAAGCAAGTTGCAGATGTTCCAGCTGCACAATGTGGAGCAACCAATTGGAAGCAACCAACTCCTCTGTTTTTGATACAAGCTATACTTCAGGTATATATAGAACTATCCCAGACGCTCCATGTATACCATACTTGCCCACATTGAGGTGGTTCAGGGTGTCAATGTAGGCATTCTAGTCCATACAGGGTGTTTGGGTATTGTGAACGTGCATGCGATGTGTGTCTTAGTGCTAGCTGATGGAATCCAGTGTCCATGTTGCGCATGTTGTGCCGGCATTGACCAGCAATCCACAGGCTCCACAGGGTACCAGTGCCGAAGACGCTCCACCACAACCCACAGATCCTGCCGTCTCCGTCCGTTTGACTCCACGTGTCACGTCGAAAACCGCGAACGCCTCTTGTGGTCGAAAGGTGGCGCCCAGTTATGAGAATGGCACCATTGGGACATGGGCTTCTTGGCATCATGGGTGGACCCAAGTGGTGAAGCCTGGCCGCCAGATGGTCATCAAGAGGTCGAAAGGAGAAAGGAATATGAATATGGATTGTGTTGCCTAAGTGCTGTCGTAGTGTTATTTCGAGTGTCAATTTCATATGTCAGTGTGTCCTGAATCAACTCACTGAATCAACTCACAATCAAATTCCTTGTGAGTTGTTGATGGTGGTTCAAAGAAATGTGATTCCCCAGCTCGTACATTGGAACATGGGTGCAAGTACCTGTTCTATACGGGGGCATGTCCCATTGTCTCTAGGGTTTTTGAAATCGGGTCCAGGTAGATGAATTGGTTCAATTTGGGGGTCATGCACATGGTGAGCCATGGTAGAGCAATGCCAGAGTTCGGACGCATTGGAACGTTTGGTTAGCCGTTATTTTTCTGGGAGACTGAGGGGGTCAGTAAAGTGGCCAAAAAGCTTCGTGCCATCTACTTCATCTACTCTCCATGCACTTGTTTCTTTCTCTGGTTGTTCCTGGTTTCTCACAAGAACTGGATGGTTGTCAAGCCCACTTCCCATCTTTGCCGCGACCACCCCTCTTTTGGACGCGAAGAAGTCTGAGGTCCAGATGAGCAACTGCGCCACTTTGGGGAATGAGGCAGGCGCCCAGGGGGGGGGCAGAGCCCTTAAGAATCCAGCCAAGCAGCTTCTTCAGTGTCCTTTTTGGAGTCTACTGACCCTTTGGATGTGACTGCAGGTGACTGAATCAAATGTGTCTGATTTCAGGAAGAGAGACGTGTCTTGGAAAGAGAGACGTTGCACTCCCGACTGGTCTATCGGGTTGGTATGAGGATTGGAGGTAATGCAGGATATTCCAAAGACATAGGTTGTTCAGGATGGGTTTGAAAGGCTTTTTTGAAAGTTTCCTTTGAAGCTTGGGAGGCATTCCTACCAATCCCAATGCCTGACTGCTCATATTCTTGAGAATGGTCCAGCAAGAGTTGAATGACTCCTCATTGGGTTTGAAAGAAACGAGGCCTTGATAGAAGCTTTGTTCAACTGCTCATTGCGGTTGGGAGCAACAAGGCCTTCATAGCGCCTCGGTTCACATAGATACTTCAGTTTGGAGATCCTTGGAAGTCTTTAAGACCAACCCTCCTATAGGCTGCACGGCCGGACCGCACGAATGTCGCCATCCATGGATGGCAACATGTGAAAAAAGTGCCATGTCATGCGCTTACTTGGCTGGAAGTTCAGGTCCAGTTGTCATTATATAAATAAATGGTAACCCCCCTAAAAAGAAAAATCCAAGACTACAACACCTAACGAAACACTGGTGACTAACGATTCAAGAAAGACAATGACAAGCAATCGGGTCTTTGAAAAACCGTCGCCCTCGGGTTGAGGACCTGTTGCACCCCCTTAGTCACAATCAACCCCCGGCTTTCGGTAGCTTTGGGCCGCAGGTGTCGAATCCAGCGGGTTCACTCTGGGCACACCGGTGTCATTTTGATGGAAGTCGATGTTGTTCTTCAACTTGTTTTGTTCAGATAAGTTCTCGAAATCTGATTCATCTTGTGTGCAATCCAAGTTTTTGCAAGATCGTCAACCGCACTCGCTGCATCCGGTCCGAGATGCGCGTCGTATGATGCCGGTCCGAGATGCCGCAGAGCGTTCCGTTCACCGACAGAGACTGCAGAGGCCACCAGCTGCGACGTGGGGCCTGAGCAAGGGCTCATCAGCCTGTCAGGGCCTCATCGCGCATCGCGTAGTTTCGATCCCTACTACCGCGTCGCGTTGAGGATGCCACGCGTCGCGTACGGAAGAGAAGGATGGAGAACTGATGTGCGTGATGTGTAGAGGTTTTGCAGATTTTTAGCAGTTCTAAAGACGTTGCTGCTGAGAATACAACGCCCAAGACATGGGGTTCATCCTTACCCCTTCCATGTCCAACCAAGTACCACCAAACTCCCAACATTGATATCACCAGCTTACCCGACATGCTGGCTTCCACCAGTCTCCAGGCAGACGTATGTGGCGCGAATGAAAGAGCATGGGGAGCCCAAGACATGCGGAATCGGTCCTGAAGGGTGTGTCCCAGAAAACCACTCAGTAAGTGGTGCTAAAAAATGTACTATCTTTGCCCATGCAAGTCCACTGCCACTTCCAGAAGGTCATTGGCCCCTCCCACGGGTCCCCCAGAAGAACAAAGAACACACTGCGGCACTGCGCAAGAAAAGTGGATAGCGTTTCAAAACCTTCTTGCAGAAATTGGGGACGCTCCACTCAACGGGAAAGTTTGGTTTCGATCGCCAGCTCTGGGAGTCGAACGTCGCTCTGTCGTGTTTCACAACAAGGATGAGATCATTTGTCTTTCCAAGTGTCAGCAGTGATTCAGTTGCGGTGATTCCAGTTTCTGACCGAACTGTTTGGAGCTGTTCCATTGAGAGTCCTCTGGTTTGGACGCTTGATGCTCCATCACCCAAGAGATTCAAGAAGACTCAAGACTCAAGAAGGCTGGACATGGGGACGGACATGCCAGAGCCCCCTTAAGGGGTGTCTTTTAAAGGCCCCTTTGAGATTAAGGGGTGATGTGGTGATGTTTGGATATTATACAACCGCTTTGCCCCCCTTGTTTTGGACCTCATCCTCACTTTCAACTTGTGTTTGTGTCAAGGTGCTTTGACAATCTTTGTAGCCAAGGCTTTGCACGGACGCCACCTTGAACTCTGAGTACTCCTACACTGCTGGCCGGAAAATGGTTGCCGCAACACTCGGGAAGAGATGATGAAGTGTACTAGTACTTCGTCCATTGATGAATCTGGCCCGCCTGGCTGGCCCACTGAAAATCTGAAAACTAATACGAACACATTTGCAAAGTCCTCATGAAGAATATATACAACTTTGTCATACTTTGTCCGGGAGTGTCGTAGTTTTGAGGTGATTGTTCTGCTCAGCAGTGGACCCGTTGAGAAGATGTTGATATCGCCTCTGCCTCTCCGTAACCATGCTTTACTTAAATCCGAGGATTCACGGTGAATGGTTAGGTGAGACATTCACCAGTGGTCTGCTGCAACACCATGGCTTTTGATGGCTTTTCTGCACATGGGCAAACAGACCTTAGCCTTAGGCATCACGGATCCAAACACATCTGAAGCACTGCTTCAGACAGGTCGAGAAGTTTAGTCGAGAAGTTTCGGGACCAAATCCAGCCAGCCACAAATCCTATATATATAGCGCCAAAACGTATTTTATGGTATCATCCGGAATAGCCTTGCCTTCATCCTCCGTCGCAGCCAAGTACGCACGCGTCGTCGCCTCCATCCACAGACCGACGACGGCGACGACGTGACGCGACGGAAGCAGGCACTGCAACCACTTGGCCCGTGCGCGCCGAGACTCCGCAGGGGAAGCCCAGCGCGCTCCGCGCGTGGTCCGCGCCAGCCAGACCATGTGTGAACGCGTTGGACCATGATATTCGTCCGTGTCGGTAGATGCGTAGAGATATGTAGAGATGTTTGCCAACATATTTGCTTACTTCCTGAAACTCTGAAGAAGTGGAAGTGAGTGTGGAAGTGCTATACTATAATACTCCAGAATGTTCTACTCTGTTAAGCTGTTCGGGACTGACAATTCATGGGAGGATGGAACCTCAATGAACCTCAGCTGTTTTTGTTTCGTTTGTGGTTTCTAACCACTCCAAGTGGTTGGCAACATGTTTTCAGCTCACCAAAACCGACACTGCACCGGCCCAACGACATGGGGACAACCCTTTCATTACCAGAAATTTTTGAACAGAACTGCATCAGATAAGAGACCGGCCTGTGACCAAGAGTCTGGCACACAGGTAACTGTTATCAATCAACTGTTGCTAGACTAAATCCTGAATCCCCCGGAGACAAAATCAACAGTCAGTATAGTACACCATTGGACCAGAGTCTGGTGTATTCTAGCAAATTATATGTTCATGTAAATATAATATATGATATAACACCATCCTGGATAAGATAGAAGTGAATCAAACCGAACACATGACCCCTGACTACATAACATATTTTATAATGCACACACCATATATCATATATATATATATATCCAAGTTATGCGGCGTGTATATAGATCCTCCATGCTGACGGATCCTCCTCCTGATTGTCCCCTTGTGCAAACTAATCCGTGCTTATTTTTTGCCATGAGTTGACTTGAGAGATCCCAAACATTGTTGTGGGTCAGGTTTTTTATGTATTCTTTAAGGAGAATGTGCTTCCTTTCAAGCTTTGGTTTGAGACTCCAGTTGTGCAATGCATGATGCAACACATGACATCCATAAGTTTGGATGGGAGTACGAGTGCATATTCAACGTGTATCCACTATGTATATAAGTGCATACTCATGTACTTGGATAGGGAGCAATGAGTTTGAGCCTAGCTTCCTTCTTCGAGAGGGCAGGAGGATTGAACTGCAAGATCAGGAGTTGTTGGGAGCGGGAAGTCCATGATGAGACGACCTGGTCATGTGTACGCCAGGAGCAACATCAGCTTCAGCAACATCAGGCGTACGTGGCATGTGAGATTTGATGCAGGGAGCTTCCGGCGGAGGTCGTTCGTTGGTCTCGAAATTGCACTGGCAATGCGTACAGGATCAGTGCAGGCCAACGCGTGCCACGGGCGTGCTCTTTAGGGGATGCGTCCAGATTTTTGTGAACTTTCATCCGAAAGCGGGATGGGGATGGGGTGCCCGGCTGTTGGGCTGATGGATCTCCATCTTTATGAGGGATTTTCATGAAACTCCGCCTCGCCTATCGGTTTGGCATGGCCTCATGGCTAACTCGCTTCAGATGACCATCTCGGTTGTTTAGCCATATAGGATCAAAGTTAAAAGCCTGAAAGCGCTGCGACGTCTAGAGTTTCGCCATGAGTCGCCCAGCGGCTTGCAAGCGTTTCCTCGCTCCAGCGGCAGCGCTGTTGGTTTATGTGTTCTCATTGTCTTGTGATGTGTATGACGTTCCGATGGTGAAGTTTCAGATGGTGAAGTGCATGGGGCGAAAGGCCCTTGCAAATCGCTGCAGATTGGGCAGAAAGGCCGCTGGTTGCCCAATTCCAATGAATGAGAAGCTGTATACAGATGTGCTTGACCTTGCTGGAGTCTTCGATAGAAACGAAAGGTTTGGAGAGTTTGCTGATGATTTGCTCCCAAGTGTGCCCCATCCAGTTGATGATATTGTGGCAGTGGTGAAACGACACGCTGAGAAGTTGTTCCCCGGCTGCACGTTGTCACTAGCTGGTTCGTGTGACCGGCAGGTTCACAACAAGTACTTCTCAGATATTGATATCCAAGTACACAATTTAACTCTTGGAGCACCATCAGAGGGAGAGTTTCACGACTTTTGCAGCCTTCTCGAGCACGACACGGATGTTCGCAAAGTGAAATTTGAAAAGGGATGCAAGGCAATTCGCTTGGAGGTTTGGGGCATTCCGGTGGATGTAGCATTCACTGAACAGTTTGATAAGGACCTGGCCATGCATGGGCCGGCGCAAACTTCTCGATTGAAGGAGCTCTATGAAGAATATCCTGGAGCTGTAAAGGCAGCGCGAGTTGCCAAATGGATCTTCCAAGACTTGAGGGGAATGGACGTGGAATACATTGTGAACGACATTGCACGAGACAGCAGCAAGCTGTGGGAGAACCGCAAACGTGATAGTCATGGCTGTTTGCTTTTTCGAGGAGTGGTCATTGAGCTAGCCCAGTTTCCAGGAGTCTCACACTATTCTTCTTTGCGTGAGTTGGAGAAGAAGGCCCGCACTGCAAGAGGCAGGGAAACACTGCTTGACCTCGAGTGGTCCTTGAAGAGAAGCCAAGTTCTTGCGAAAGTTCTTTTGCAGGAGCTACATTGCACTGGAGTGCGCAGCAAGCAGGCGGAGGACCTACAGACCTTGTGTCAAAACGTTTCCATGATTGAATATGAATGTCTCACACGAGAGAGAAACCAGACAAGTGCCAACAAGCTGGCCTTGCGAGTAGAAAAGGAAATGTCAATCTCTCAAGAAGGCGTAGATTTGGGGTTCTCGGTCAAATTAGAGTCCGACAATGCAAAAGGTAAGGCAACAGGTGTTATTCAACCCAGAAAGCAGCGAAAGAAGCGACAAGGGGAAAGAGACTCACATACCGCCTGGTCGAATACATGGGAAGGGAAGTTGATCCTTATTTTTGATGACATGCTCTTCTGTGTGGAGAATTCGAATGAGATCAAACAAGCAAAACCCTTGGAGCGTAAATTCATACAGGCATGGTGCACTGGTGTGGATGCTTTCTTGGAGATGGCAACAAAGAAACAGAAACACGAGCGATGGAAGAGCAGGACAATGCCAGAAGGCATGCACCAAGTGGCAGCAAGAATGAAAGCGCTCGGCATTGCGTCATGTGATATGATGTACAGCCTAGTCGAGGCTTCAGATTGGCCAGCAGCGTGGAAAGCGCCTTTGTTAGCTTTCCTTTGGTTTTGGAGGAGCAAAGCCAGTTCGTGATTTTGATGAGATGACAGCCAGCGGCTGTACAGGGGGTAGACGAGCCGTTGGAGCAATGCCAAAACTATGAAGCTGGAGAAAAATCTCAAAGTGGCCGAATGCTCCATATATATATATACATATGGATGTTTGAACTTGCTAGGACTGCCAAGACCAGATCATGACAGTCATGATGAAGGACACTCCCCAAGCTTTTCGTTTCAGGATATCATCTGCATTTCTATTGATTCAACCATTTCTTTAAAACGATATTCTCTATATAGATGATTTTCTCCCATTCCGCATCCATGTCCAACCCTCAATCCATGTCCACTATAGGAAAGCACGTGTCAGACTGGTTTGTCTCAGACCTTTTGTTTTGGGACCACACCGTCTCAGCGACGACAAGACCTCACCGGCGCCAGGGATCACGCCTTTACCGTGAGCTGGGTGCCTGGCATGGCTTACGAGCGTCACAAGCAGGCGAGGTGGACTGGGTCATCCCGCGAAGAGGGACCGACGGAGGGACGATTCAGCGATGGGACACCCAGGGGACACCGAGACAGCAGACGAAGCTGGTTTGAAAAAACAGAAGCAGATTGTGTACCGTATATATTTTAATAACAATTCATGTGTACTGTGTTGTACAATGTATGAAAACAATAGATACAGTCGTATTTTTTTCGCGATGTTTTCTTCTATATGCTGCTTGCAAATGCTTGCAATGTTTACAGCCGGTTCTTCAACTGCTCAAGTTCTTTGCCGCACTTTTTGGGAAACATTTTCCCATCGAAGTTGCCGATCGATCGAGCCCGCCGAGCCGAGCATCTCGGGGACCGCCGCAGGAGTGCGACTTCGCCCATTGGGAAGTGATGCTCCGGATGTCCAGTCGTCGCCTGGCCGCGGCGTTTGGGAGTCGACGTGCGTGCGTTCGTAGCGCGGAAAAAATGGGTACAGAATGGTACAGATCTAGTCTATACCGTATACCTCTTTTTTTATTGGGTCATAGAGTCATAGTCCCATTTTTCTATAGAGTACTTTGGAGGATGCTTGTATGTTGTTTGGACACACGAACCATTTTGGACAGCGGACAGTGGCTTCGGAGCAAAACCCATGCAACCATGAAGACTTGGCTGGATCCTTTCGGGTAGAAATGACACGCGTCACAACCATTGTCATCATCATCATCATCACCATCATCATCATCATCATCATCATCATCACTACCATCACCATCACCATCACCATCATCATCATCATCATCATCATCATCATCATCATCATCATCATCATCATCATAAACAACAACATGTTATTCTTCATCATTCATCATTCATTTTCTCATTCCTCACTATACCCTCCTCCTCCCTGGGCGCTCTTGAATCGAGCGCGCCGCGGCCCGCGTCCTCAGGTTATGTCCAGCTGGGCCGAGCCTTTGGAGCAATCCGTCCGGTCGGCCCGGCCCGCGGCAACGATCTCCATGCGACTGGAATACAAGCCTAAGACCCCTCGAGCTCCAATGTAGGAAGTTCGGCCATACATGGAGCGTCATGACCACAGACGCCGACGTTGACACTACTCTTAGCTGGGTTTGACCTCTTTGGGTGATGTTTAGAACAGTTTTTGTTGAATTGGTTTATGCATTTTGAGGTCTAGGTGGGTCACTGGGGAATTGATTGGTGAAGCCTGCCAGCGTCGACCTGAGTAGGTGACCTGAAGCGTCTCAGGGCTTGCAGAACCTCACGAGTCAAGTAGGGCACCTGACCAGGGACGTACTTACCTGTGCTTTTCAAGCTAGTCTGAACGCTTTGGTCAAGAGGGAAGTGCTGCCTATATTCTCACAGTTGCTTTTTCCAGCAGAACTCGTATCAGGCTCCACTTGTATCCGTTCAATGAAACCAGGGAGCGGCAGTGGAGTGGTCATATAGATGGGAAACGACCCACACCTGGGCCTTAAACATGGGCATCCGCAAGGTGCTGCTAGCTTTCGAACGGAAGGTGCTGCTGGCTTTCGAATCAAGCTTTGCTGGCCAATTGCTGGCAGGTTGTAAGGTTTGTTGTTTGCCACTTGGGAGGGACAATGGTTTCAGATCTACTCTCCCAACTATGGTTACGTGGATGGCACACCCTGTTGAATCGGAAGTGGTCTTCCAAGGGTCCAAGGCCGCCCACCGCCCAGGTTGGGACGCTGAAGCACCGGAGCGTCCGACACAGAGCGAGGGATTGGATCGGTTTGGGGGGGGTTGGGAAGCCGATTGAAGGGAAACAAACGGATGGAAGATCCAAAACCAACGTTCGGCTTCTGTTTTATAGATCTAAAGTTGTAATATGTTGTAATAATCTTCTTCGAACTATTTGTTTTATACACCAAAAACTTGTTTTTGACGATCCATGTCTATAAAAGTATCATTGGTTTTGAGAGTAATAAAGGTTTGAGGTTCATGTCCCCCCAATGGAGGGACACCCCCGTTCCGTGAACGCGAAAGCGTTTGAATCAGTTTCTTGATGCGCTGTGTGACTAGGCATTCCGTCCTGATGAGAGAATCTCAGACCGGTAAATTTGGCTAAGATGTTGAGATTGTTGTTTCCTTATGAATCCCCAAACCTGGTGGTAACACTCCGAAACCCCTGAGCTCTCGATCCCCAAAGGCCTGAGGTGGGGTGGACTTCCTGGTCGAAGCCTTCTCTGAACCCTTCCAAGGTAGGTCGGGAGCCTGCCAGAGCTCCAGGTAGGTCGGTCTCCCTAAACGTAGCAGCCGACACACCGCCCGTACCGTACCTTCTTGTGGATGGGATGGCGTGGAGGCCCGGACCTCTATTTGGAGTATGAGGAGGGCACCGACTGGCCATGCACTGAGTGAAGATGTGGGGAAGAAATCCGGATGAAGGAAAAACGTCCAGAAGACCATCCTACAAGAATCAAGACATGTTTTGGTCCAAAATAGATCCCGTTGTTGGGGATCATGGGAACTTGAATTTGGCAGGTGGTCTTTTTCTTACCAACATTGATTGGACATTAAGACATGTGTCCTGGAAAAGAATATGCACCTCACTCAGAAGATCTCATGCATCTCGCCTGCTTCACCGTGACAAGACGTTGTTGGATTGTACCCGGACAAAACGGACGCGTGACAGAAAGGACTATAGTCCCTAGGGCTCCTGTCCCATATCCTCAGGTTCGGTGGTTAGACCTCCCTGGCACCCACCCGAACCTCAGGAGGGGGCGGCCAGGAGCCCTGGGCAGGGAGTTTAGAGCAAATGGACGAGTTGTTGGGTGCCTTGAAGACCCGGGGTCGAAATGTCCATTGTTTCGGTTCGGTGAAGCACAGGCACGCAAAGACAGGCACAGGCTGAATGAACAGAACCATGACCGCAAGGGTGACTGCAGCAGTTCGGAAAGGGCTTTTTGGTACGCAATGACAGTTCATCAGCTTTAGTCGGATGTCTACTCCAACCATCGAAACGGAGGTAGGACAGGAGCCCATGCCGAGATCCATATACCTCGACCCTGAGGTTCATCGGCTGCCAAAGCTTTGTGCGGGACACCAGCAGTTGCGATCCTCAGAGGCGCCCAAGACGGCCGAAGAACTCCCGACGCGGTGCTCGGTGGTTTTGGTGGGGGGAAGAGGAGAGATTGCCCCAAAGGGATGCCCAAAGGGTGGGGCTGGTTGGAAGGGTTGTTTTTTTGCTTTTGTCAAGTGATCATATCCTAAAAGAACCTGGACCTTCAACCATTTTTTATGATTTTGTCTATTGGGATTTCTCAATTTTCAATTTGTCTTATTCGGCCGGTTTGGTTGAATCCAAACAATATGCTTGAAGCTTCTGGAAGGCTTGTCTCTTTGGATGAATTGAGTTGTCTCTTCAGGCCCGAAAGTAACATCGATGTCGAAACCAGTTCTGAGATATGTCCCAAACACTCCATAGGACAGCCAATGACTGCCATATTTGATGCCTACATTGACCCCCCTGGCACCTCCCCAATGTAATCAAAAATGGCAGTCCCATGTGCCGTGTTTGGGTGTGATGGTCCTGTCGGCAAACTATACCCTGCCATACATGTGGCACTTGGTACAAAGATGCGTGAAGGGGAAGTGGAGAGCTTCTGGTCGAAGTCAGGAGCGTTTTGGGTTCTTCTGGTCGAATTCAGGAGCGCCGCGGAGCCACCAAGCTCCAGTGCTACTCCTTTCCTGGCAGAATTGGGCACACCACACCTCAAATCGCTTTGCCGCGACTAAGATGGAAAGCACATCCCAAGCAAACGTCTCGCCTTTGGGGGGTCCGCGAAAGACGACGACGCAGGTTTGTCAACGCACCTTTGTGACGGCACTGCGCTATATATTTGACCTGTTGTGACTCTTTGTGGTAAAGTGATCGCATGACATGGTTGGTTTCCTCTGTCAGGCACTCTTGCTTATACCACGAAAGGAGAGACCGATTTCACGACACCAGGGAAAGGACAAAGCTGCTTGAGCTCCTTCGCACTTCTTCCAGGGTTCAACCCCCACGCTTCACCTCATGACCGGGTCAAGCACGGTTCACGTGGTTTTCCTTCATCTCGACTAGAAGCAACACAGCGACGTGTCCGTCGCTGTGGGTTAAAACCTTCGCCCGTTTCACCCTGGTATAGGTTGACCTCTCCCAAGTCCAGTTATTCATGTCTTTTCGCTTCATGTTCTGTGGTCAACCAGGCTATTCCCTTGGCTCCCGGTCCGAAGTCATCGGTGCCCTCCCGCCCCCCTCGCGTTACCTCCGGGCCGAACGGTGCGAAGCGACGCGGAAGCGACCGCGGTTCCGCGACGCAGTCTGGAGTCGGACCGCGACTACGACGTGAAGGTGCGCGAGCGATGCCCGGGAGCTCGGGGAGAATGGAGTCGACCGATCGGGGACGTGGTGGTCGTGGAGGGAAGTAGAGATGAGTAGAGTGAAGGGAATAGAGTCAGGGGCGTACTGCCGATGGTGAAGGATCAAATTGTGTGCTGATTTGTGTTTTTTTCACGCCGCGAAACAAAAACACTTTTATGTGTTTTTTTCGTAGTGTGACTCCTTAAGGGCTGCTTGAGAAAAAACAGAAGTCATCGAAATCATGGAGCGTCAAGACAGGTTCTGGCTTCAGTGGCCCCAACCTATTCCTGTTCTGAGCTATATGTTGGATTATGTTAGGTGGGTTTCCTGCAGTTCTTGCCTGACTTCCGATTTTGTGTTGGATTCCTGATGTCTTTGTTCTGTTCACCGGGAACCACGGAACCTCGTCTCCCGCCACCGGACGGATGGACACGTTGCCGAGAGACCGGACCCAAAGAGGTACTTCTTTCGCTTCGCACCGGAGGACTAAGACATGGTGAGTGATCCTTTGTTTTTGTGCAAAAGTTGTGATCTCTGTTTCTTTTAGCTATTCCCTAGGGCTCCAGTCGTACCTGAGGTGTTCGGTGGGACGGGTGGCTGCCAGGAGGGTCCAAACACCGAACCTGAGGAGGTACGACTGGAGCCCTAGGGATTAGATTAAACATGGAAAACACACGTATACCATTCACGACCTATGTACCGTACATGGAAGAGTTAACGCTTGGGGCACCTTTTTCACCCATGTCGCATGCGACTGGAAGAGTGACTAACTTTAGGGCTTATAAATGGTGTACATGTTGAGTCTGTCCTATTACCCGCAACAGTCAGTGTCCAAGCAAATCACTATTTATTTTGAACAAGGCCTGCAACTGAACCGTCATCATCCAATCGCCGCCCCCTTGCCTCAGGTTTTTGAGGGGGGGACGTAAAAAAGTAAGTTACATTTTGGGGGGGGGGCATAAATGTATGTTGGACCCCCCCTCTAATTACTTTTTGACCGGTGGCTTTCCTGGGAATTGACCGGTGGAAGTTTAGGCTTTTTTTTTGGGGGGGGGGATGTGGGCTGGCAGGGATTCCCCAGGATTCCCCACGGATCCCCCAGGGAATCACCGGTGAGTGCTCAGAGTGCAGGAGGGGGGGGAGGGGGTGGTAAAAATGTAACTTACTATGTGGGCACGTGGCAACTTACATTTTACAGGGTACATCTGAAAAGGCAACATATCACCTAGGCACATGGTAGCTTACATTTTACAGGGTACCCCTCAAAATGTAACATACTAACATACTAATCCTCAATGATACTCTGTGAATCCTGGAAGGAAAGCGTGTTTGTTGCAATTTGGAGCTTGCTGCACTCTTGAAGTTGCTGAGATCTGTTGGCTTCTAGGCAGAAGATGGCAGAAGTGATGATATATAAACAAGATATATATAACAAGATTACATCAAACAAGATTTGATTGCATCTTGCATTGCAGACGTAGAAAATGTAAGCTTCCATTTTCTACGTATATGGGGGAAAAATGTAAGCTTACATTTTCTACGTCTATTTTAAAAAATGTAAGCTTACATATTTGAGGTATCAAACCAGGACCCCCCCCCCCAGGAAAAATGTAACTTACATTTTTTTAGGTCCCCCCTCCCCTAACAGGTAGCGATATCATCCACAGTTACTGGTAATAGGATAGACCCAATTAAAATGTATGTAATAACATGTAATAGCTATTCCATACATGCCCTGGGCTAAGAATCCTTGGGTTCCAAAACCCAAAGCCAACCCTTCCCATTGGAGAAGAGCCAGGGTTTTATCGAGTCAGACTGAAACACTTACCCAGTCAGCCGGGATGCCTGTTGATGAGAAGAAGGGATGAAAAGTAGAGTCTTACCTAGGACCTAGGAAGTACATGGCTGAAGAACCTTGATGGGGAGAAGAATGGGAGTTAATCCACTGTTGATCACGTGGAACGTTTGGCTAACCTTAATACTTCCAGTAAAACGGAAGTGGATGGCATGGCATGGCCCCAAAAGGAAGACAATGTTCCAACAGGAGGTGCCATCCACTTCCATGATTATTCAAGGGTGTGTGCTGAAATCATATGACATGATGTGTCTCTCTCCCATTGCACTGCTCTTTTGGTGATGAGGGTCCGTAACCAAGTCCTTCCAGTTCTTTATTTTTGAGCTGCGCCGCAGCCGCTGCGCCACTGCAAGGCTTGGACTCCCATGCTGATAGCGACTACACTGCTGCCACTAGCAGGTCGGGAGGGGGTATCGAACAAAGGGTTAGGAACCGGTGTCTCTTGGTAACTTTTTGCCAAGCCTTTAGGTGAGCTCTTGGTGGTTTGAGGATCCCAGACGCGACCTCTTTGCACTCTCCATTCAGGGGCCGTACCCGGTCAGGGGTCCCTCAGACCCCTCCGGACGATTCAAGCAAGACCCCTCCATATGGGAATCCAGGGTCGCCTCTGGGATGGTATACGTTTCGTCTCTTCACTCCACAATCTCCAGAGGCCGCGCACAAGCGCTGTGGCGGCCTACGCGCCAGTGAACCTCACGACCGACAACATCCGCCAGAGGGCCCAGTGATGGAACGGAGCTGCATTATTGTTATATCTTGTTATATCTTAGAGGTGTTTGGGAACCATTATGTTTAATTGTTTGCAATAGACTATGAATCCTATATACTGAATGCCTTTTTTTTTCTGAGAGATGCTGATGCTTAAAGGGCCCAGACATATGACGTATTTACAGTGCATGTTGGCTTGATCGAATCATGAAACAATGTGTATGGAGCTTAGGTGTATCCAGTGTCCAAGGCATTGATCGATCAACCCTGCTTATTTTTGCTAAATATATGTTTTCATGCAGTGAGGATGTACAGTTCAATTCTGATTACACTCCCTGACATAATCATGGTTACGTGAGCCAAACATGGCCTTTTGGATGATCATGTTTCAATCACATCCAAATACCAAACAAGTGGTGCTTTCTCTCCACTTCCATGTGGAGTCGCAGTATATGTCAATCATGGGTGCTCACTCCCACGCGATGGTTCACAGTTAGTTCAGATGTTTATAAATCTTCCATCTATTATAGAAAAGCACGGGGTCACCTGCCTGTAATATTCCAGCCCACTACTGGTCCAGTCCTGGCTGGAGGTTCTAGTTTTTAGGGAATCTTCTTCCCAAAAACCGCAACCAACCAACGGCCCCCGAACCCCGACCACCGAACTGCCGGAAGTACCCGCGGAAAACGACCCGAGGCAAGTACCGCTACGACCTTCTTTGGGATCCGGGCGACCGCCGGGCGTGCGTCTTCTGGGCCTGGCAGGCGGGGGGGTGAAGGGAGAACATGGTCCCCAAACAGGCTCGCTTTTGGTCAAGCTGAAATGATGGATTCATGTATCAATGGTACCATATAAGCTGTGCCTCATTGGAAGTACTGGACCTAATACTTGACCGAACTGATCTTCATCTCATCTCAGATCCCTGAAAATCCTGAGTGCTCCACCTAGCACTTTGTGTGATGCTTCTTGTGATCGACCTGATCTCCTCAGGTGATGACGAAGCCTGTGGGTGTCGATTGGCCACCGGAGGATCAAGACAACGCGACCATTGACACTCGCTTCGTGTCACCGGTGGGCGGTAGGGCGGTGGACCACGCGACCACGTATGGAACACGAGCAGAACAAGGACGAGCCAGAACGTAGGCGCCATTGAATTGGCGCCGGCCTTGAACGCCGCAGCGACACTGAAATCACACGTACGGTTCGAGACAATTGTAGGTACAGTTCAGTAGACGGATCAACTCTACCTCCAGACCGACAGAAATCAACACAAACAGAAAGCTGATTCTGAAAAGCGCAGAATCGCAGGGAGAACTTGGTTAATTTTTTGTTATTGTCCATGGTTTGGTTGCCTCAAGTAGCTGCCAAAATGCCCAGGCTTTGCCAATTGGGTTCGGTTCGAAGATGCTCGAGGTATTGCCTCCAGTGAGATGGAGCTTCGTCCTCAACCGGATCCGCAAAACTCCCAACAAACATTTTGTCCTCCCAACTTGAAAAATAACAGCATCCTTGCCACAGCTAGCTGTATTTTTTTGATGTAGATAACAGCCAGCAACATTCCGAGACTTAAGTGAGGATGTCGATTTGTTCATTTGGTGTTTGGTTTTTGCTCAGGTGTGAACTACTTCAGCCAGATCTTGAAGAGAACTGCAACTATCTATAGACATATTTATCGTTGGAAAGGAAGTGAGCATGGAACATAGTCTGTCGACCCGTTGTTTCTTTTTTTTGTTTTTTTTTTGTCACATCTTCAGATATGACATATACTGAACACTCACTCCTTCCACAACTCTTTCGCGAAATTCCACCGCACGACGCACGACGCATGCGAAGCGCCCAGGAAGGGGGTGGGCACACTTTCATCTATCACCGCAACATCACTGAGCATCGGTTCAAGGCCGGGCATGCGAAGGCATCGGGATCAGGTACCAGGTACCCGGTACATCCTGGTACCCACCGAATGTCCAAGGTAGAGTTGTCTAAGGGGACCAATCTTAAGCTCTTAAGGGTTGGGTTCAAGAACCTGGGTATATACTGTACATGTGTTCAGCAGTGCCAAAGGTTAGTGGATGTCCTATGGTGGCCCAATACTGTAGCCTGGTTCTGCTTAAGCCCTATGGGTGAATCGCCTTCCGGCAAATAATTTCTATGTGTTATCCTGGTTCCTTAAGCAAATCCAAGATAGTTAGTACCTTCACTCTGGGTGTAAAGAGCACACCTTTGTGAGCTGTTGAATTGCTTTCTGCAGGCAAATCATTGGCAAAGATGAGCACACTAAACGAACGCAACAACACAAAACCATACAAAACCATTGGCTTTGGTCCAGACATTGCCCACCCAGATTTTTTCAGCATTGCATCGAGTTACATGTTTGCAACATGTCCAACCGACTGAGTTGTTGAAGATGGCTGTATGGAGGATGACTCCATGTCCATGTCACAAAAATGTCCCAAATCAGGCAGGTCAACAATGATAAAGCACTAACAAAAGCATTAATTAAAAAGCAATCATGTGGGAAGTTTGTGATGCTTACAACGAGCTGATGGATCTCCCCCAGACCTTCACAATCTGACAGAATCTAACTTGTTTTAAGATTGACCCTAGAAGATCTAACTTCCATTTATGGACCCCAGAAGATGCAGCTCGTGTCTAAGCAACCTATATAAGTGTGGTTTTCATGTCAGCCTTGTCTGGGGCAGGGAGAAACAGATTGGATACATCAGAAAAAACTAAAACAAAAAAAACACGGTTTGGTCTCAACCGAAAACCGCAAATCACTGCACACGTCGCGCGGTTTCAGATCTATAATCCGTTTTTTCCAATCCGGGGGAATGAATGTGAGCGTCTTTCAGGTGACGAGGATCTCAGAGTCCTTCTAACAGTGATTCTCTTGAGGTTTAGATATGTGACGTGCAAAGCCACGTCAGGTCTCAGGTATACTGGAAACTCTCGAAAAGACTGTGCCGACCATGCGCCATTTCCGTTTTTTTTGACCCAGACCATCCACCTGGACCTCCCCTGGTTGGTTTGGTCGCTTAGCCAGGCCTGTGAAGGGGTCACTGTACTTCCAAGTTCGATCAGGAAGGTCACCATGCGAACAGATGCCAACCCCCCCCCAACTCAACCCCAATCGACCGTACTAGACTTCTCCCGAAGCTTAGTCCGTCACAGTCCCCCCTTGTCGGCACTGATTCCTTCGTTCTCGCGCGTCTCCCACGACGCGGACCGGAGCGGCCCGGACCGGACTGGTGACCGTGATCCGCAGTTTTCAGTCCCTATAGGGCTCCTGGCCGCCCCCTCCCGAGGTTCGGTGGGCCAGGGGTGGGTGGTTTTGGGGGGTCGATATAACCACCTGAGGTGCCATGGGCCAGGAGCCGGGAGTGACTTCGTAGAACGTCCCACGACTTCGTTCCGAAACGCGTGGGCCCCACAATTGGACCGAACGCGGACCGAACCTTGGATCCTGTCAGTCACGCCTCACGCGGCACCGGGTCACAGGGGTCCCAACCGTTGGGGTTCCTGGTGGCTTGGTCAAGGCGTTGAACCACGTGGCTCTGGTTTTGGGTTCGCCCCATCTCAAGCGACGCCAGTTGCCCCTGAGCAGCAACACCCAGTATGGCGCCCGCGTACGGGAACGCTGTACCGATCCCACCTACGACGGCGCAGCTTGCTTGGACCGCGCGATCGCGCGCTATCGCGTCGTTTTGGAGAAGATGAGGAGAAGAGGAAATGTTTATAGTTGATTCGGGATGCCAGGGGGGGAAATGGGGGGAAGAGTTGAAGAGGGATGAGTGAAGTGCAAATGAAAGGAGCGTATTTTGTTGTGTCGTGGGTGAATGAGTTGGTGCCATATGATCTTGTTGGGTGGCGAAACCGGCTTGCGAAAGATGACGTTAAGGAATGGATCCCCTGCCTTGAGCCTGGGCCTCTTTAAAGCTAATGACAACTTCCGAATCCACAACATTCTCAGGGGCAAAGTCTAAGTGCACCGGTTCTTCAAGGGCCTCCATGGCTCCGTGGGGTCTCTTTATTTAACAAAGCCTAACAAAGCTGCTACCAATTGTTGATGATGATGAATACCAATACCCTGAGGCACTTCATTCTATAGAGAACATGTTTCCAGCACTGCAGGAGGTTGATATGTGATTCTATAGTGGGGCAATCTGCCTTCAGAGCCTGGCTTTTCGTTTCATCATTATAAAGTCACGTCCCAAGGTACATCGGTATTCCCACACGGGATGCTGAATCAAGAACCAGGATCACATTAAAAAATGACGCTACGATTGATTACTCTTTTCATCCAAAGGCAAGAGCGATCGTGGAACGGCTGACCTAGTCGAGGCGCTTTTGTGGGTAAAGACAGAAACCCATCTTGGCCTCCCCCAAGGAGCGTTCAGTCGTCAAAAATGAAGGATACAAACACGTTCCAAGATCCCAAAGGATTGTTAGGCCTCAACCCATCCTTTTTGTATACGTTCTATAGCGTTCAGTCGTCAAAAATGAAGGATACAAACACGTTCCAAGATCCCAAAGGATTGTTAGGCCTCAACCCATCCTTTTTGTATACGTTCTATATATATATATATATGTCCTTTTTTTCGCGTATGTGGGTGCCATCTCAGCTGAGGAGTGGGGCTACCTGCTCTACCCGGGTGTGTGGACCGCTCCACCGGTACAAGCTGATCAGTGCCGTGGATGAAGAGATCAGAGAGCTGAAAACGATTTTTTTTTTACATTAGTCACTTCATAGAAACACGTTGGGTAATGTACTCTCTTGGATTGAAACACATGTTCATGTGTGGGGTTCTACTCACCAAGGTCTACAGTCTACAGTAAATATGTTCACAATTGTTGTTTTGAGTGTGTACATTTCTCCAGAACATAATTTTCCCACATCCAAAGCGTGTCTTCACATGGTTTTTCATATATGACATTTGTTAGACCGATCTGTTTTTAGCTCCAACAGGCTCTCACATCACATGGGTGAAGGATGTTTCATCGTTGGTTTTGCGATGTTTGTGAAAAATTCCAGGGATTTTGTTAATTAATTTCTAGGTCCACCAGTGGATACTTCTCGACAAACCCCAAATTTAGCCAAATGTTGTATGGCAAAATATTGCAAATAATGCCTCGACACATTTCCCAGGCATCTTCAAGTTGGCAGAAAAGACGCCCATGGTTGTTCATGTTACACTCTGCTGTCGCTCCTTGTGAGGCTGGAGAATGTGACTCTCCACTTCAATTGGCCTGCACTGCCGGCAAGCTCAGCGCGGACCCGACCGACCCGGCGTGTTCAGATGTGGTGCAGGTGTCGCAGAAGAGATGAGATGTCCAGGACAAATAGATGTGGATCCTATTAAACAATGATTTTAAAAAAATAAAATAACAAATTCCGGTAAAAACCAAAACAAAAACACGTGTCTGGATGAAAGCCGACTAAAGTACGTGAGCACCACGTGGGTCTGCTGACACTTGTGGGTCGGCTGGTAGGACTGGATCACGGTGTCTTCGGGTCGCTGTCCTCTGCGGTCGCACACCGGTAGACCCCCTGAAGCAACTACCTCTCCAAAAGGTTTCTGAGTGACTGACCATTCAAGAAACCAGCCAAGTAACCCTGGGCACGTGGATAGAGTCCTTTGAGGTCATCAAGGGTGAATTCAGACAGGTACTTCTTGTATTCGGATCCATTCCATCCCAATCACATGGAATTGGGACCTGCCCCAGGTGAAACTACACAGGGTGAGATCTGGTGAGTGTGAGTTGACTTGGTCTGTCCTTCCTTCCGTCTCCAATGCCACTCGACCGGGACAATATTACAGGAGAATAGGAGGGATGGACACCACCCCCTGAAGATGAGTAGGGTTGGAACATTCATTCTTCCAATCGTTTCTGGGTGATTTCTGCAATTGGACGATCTAGAAAGTACAAGCAGCTCCACCCAGTAACTGGGTTGTGTCGAGACCTCCCTGACGATCTATGTTCCATCCAAGAACCACCCGATGTTTAGATGGTGCTGGTACATGATCATATTGCTTTGACCCAACATCTATGTATGGGGGGTTGTTCCATTGCCAGTAAGGCCTGCAACCAGCATCCTCCACACTTACAGTCCCATGGGTGATACCCTAGTGGCCCTAGTAGACCCTTTCATCCACCATCGTGACTCAACCGATTAGTAAACCCCCCCAGACATGGACGATAAAACCTTTGCGTATGGAGGGTTGAAATATCATCAAGAGTAACTATGCCCCACGATCTCGCCCGCGATCTTTGTCCGAGATCGAGGTTGGTTCTTGGGGATTCAGGTGAATGTTTGAAGGGCAAATCTTCCCATCTACAAGACTCACTGAAAAGGCTGTGTCGTGAATTGGCCGATCGATCGATGTGAATTGGCCGATGTAGAGAACACCTTCAAGTCTCCGAGTAGACGGAGGTAGACTTCAAGTCTCGCTTACTCTATGGCGGTGCTTGGCGGCGATCGCACCTCTCTTTTTCATCACTCCCGGGCTGGCAGCTACTTCCAGGTGCTTTAAGTGCAAGGCCCATAAAACCTGTACGAAGCCTTCTTTGTCCCCAGCTGGTAGAAGCCTTCTACAGAAGAAGCTGCTTGTAGGCTTCTACCGAAGCCTTGCTTCCCACTCTTTTTGATTCGTTTCGCATGTCTCCTTCCCCCGTCGCTCGCCCTGTTTCGCTCACCGGCGCTCGTCGCTCGTCCAGGCTGTCCATTCGCTTCTTGACCGGACCTGCAGGCGCTTCGAACGGGATCGGAGCGGAGCTACGACGGATCGACGCCCGTGACTTGCAGCATCCTGCGCTCATGGGACAGTCATATATATGATCAGTATATATACATAAACACTTTCAATAGTATTTTTTCATACAAATAAGCATTATCATACTGTATAGTAGACAAATTAGTACGTTACATTATACATGGAGGTCCCTCGAACAAAAACAAGAAAAGAGCTGGTAGAGATCCAGGTGTTCGGAACTCGGTCTCACCTGGCCTTCTTCGGATCGATCCATGTCTCGTTTCCCGGTTCCCGTGGCCGGAACGGCGCCTGGGCGGATGGACTGGGGACCGAGTTGGATGGAGCGGGGACTGGAAGAGTTAGATGGGATGCATTGACCATTGATACACCAAGAGAGGTTGAGAGACCTGAACTAGGATTTTGGGATGTGGGACAGATGGGATGGGCGACAAAAGGCTGTTCAACGTCTCTTGGCACAGGAAGAACCCCCGAACAAGAAGATGGCTGTGATGTGGTCGCCATGCTGTGTTTTTTAATGGAAGTGGCTGATTCCGCTTGAATCAGCTGCCCCCAACGACCGGCTGATAGTGGAGCAATGAACCGTTGGTCAGTTCGAGACTGTGACCTCATCCAGCATGCTGTCGTTTGGGCTGGTTTATAGATACCCCTGATGTACCGCTTTGCAGTGAATCTGAGAACAGCAAAAAAGACAATCCTACCAGCAGTCACAAGACGGGGTGCTATTCATGGAGGTTAGGGGTGCCTAGTATCCACTCACTTAGGGACTAAACACCACCCTTTGTGCCTCCTGGTATATAATATCTAGCTATGTATATAGGAGGATTTAAACAAGTGCTGTATGTTCCCTCCAAACACCATCCCAACCTGGGTGGTGGATCTGGAAGTCGAAGTTCGCTTGGCACTCAGGTCAATCAGGACACTCCGTTTCTGATACGGATGTGCCAAATGGCCACAGTTCCATCCTTCTGGTGCAATTTCGTAGTCGTCACTGCTAGCGCCACCCAGTTTGGGTGGTTTATAGAGACCTCCTGACCATGTACTTTTACCATCGAAGAACGAGCCTTTGGGTGCTGCTGGTGGTGTAATCTTGTATTCTGCAATCCTTCTTCGGGTGTATGCCATGACCACTAACAGTCGGTAAAAGAACCTACGTAAATAATTGTAACTAACCATCACATCATCCACCGTTGCAGTTCCATGGGAGATACCCACGACATTGGGTATATCCTTCCTCCAGTCATGGAAGTGAATGGCAGGGTCCTGCTTTGAGACCCCTTTCCTCTACTCACAGGCTCTGCAGTTGGACCCGCAGTTGGAGGTTCTTGTCGTTTTTCTACCCACAATGACGCATGGACTCGCTGGTCCTGCTGGACGCTCGACAGCCCGGCCGGCTCGAACGCTAGACGTGACCGCCCGGAGCGGCAGGGTGGCTGGAAGATTTGGAACCCTCGGATCCCAACTACAACAGCCACAGCCACTGGGACAGCGTCTTTGCTTCGTCACGGAGACGAGACGAAGCAAAAACAAACAGATTTTGTTGTATAGAGATGGATGGAAGTCGTTGTTGTTTGTTTGGTTGTGGTTGTGGTTGTGGTTGTGGTTGTGGTTGTTGTTGTTGTTGTTCTTGTTCTTGTTCTTGTTAAATGCGCGTGATTGTTTCGAAGAAAGAGTTGTGCCCTCGGGGATTTATGGGAGCATATGATGTGCTTTAGGAACAGCAAAGGACACCAACCTGACAAGCTAAGACTGCGGAGGTGGCCGATTCTCCAGAGAGGGTGATGGTTTGGAGGCTGACAGGTCCGCGCAGGTCCGCGCAGGAATGAAGCCTTTTAAGGTGCATGATCTCGGTCCTCTCAGCTGAGAACGCAGATGCCACAGAACATGTTTGTTGGTGTCCACAACGCCCCAGTCGTTTCTTTATGTTTAGCCCCTTGGGGATGGTCGGAGCTGTTTCAGAGAACGAGAAACGCCATCCAACCTCCATGAATCACTACCAGTCTGGAGATTCCTTCCCATACCATCCTGTTTGGGTGTGGCTGGAGTGCAACGACCCAGATCATTGGACACCCAGACAGGATGGTCGCATACATACGTACGTGTTTTGGGGTTTCATGTTGGACACCCGCCGTTCTTCTTTCTGGGAGTGGGAGGGCGTCCTGCAATGGTGCGGCGGCGTCCTGCAATGTTGGAGTGTTGGTGATCCGGAGACTGATCCGCCACATCATCAGGTCATCCCAATGGATATTTCACAAAGGGATGAGTTGAAGTCGGCGTGTTTGACAGGCCACAAACATAGACCTCCAGTTCGAGGTCACGAACTGGTACTTGGGATGATTGAATTGACCATATTTTGCACGTACAGTTGAAACCACCAACCTTGCCATTTTCAGCCTGCCGTGAGGTGACTGCGAGTTCAACGGTTGGTATGTGGAAGTGGCTGACGCGGCCACCCCTACCGATTGGGTGGTCGGGGCTCTCGACGAAACGCGAACGGCGGAGGTTTAGGACTGCGGATGGTGCCGTTGGGCTCAGCCCACTTGTCTCCTTGCTTCAACACTCAGCCGATTTGGTGAACACTATTCAGAGTCCGTGATCCATGCAGCATGGAGAGGCAAATCCAAAGATTGGATGCTGCTAAACCAACAATTTGGTCCCAAGGATCCACCCTCTGAGAGGTCCCGGTGAGCAGGGAGACAGTTGGTGGTCTTGCCCGTGGTCTTGGAGGGTCCAGTTCGTACCGAACTTGAGGTACAGAAAACTGATCCCTAGGGTCATAGCCTCTTTTGGTTGTCAATCCATTGTTGTGACATGTTGTGACCCTGAGATAAGGATTCATTGGAGGGCTCCGGACTCCCACGAGCAATTTTTCGGATCCTCGTTCGTCACTCGCAACAGTTTGGTATGAGACTTCTCCCCTCATCAAAACTTCTCCCCTCATCAAAGGCTGTCTTGGCTTCTTCGTTTGGGAATCATGCTTTTGCTCTCTGAAGGTTGCACTCTCCATGAGGGGACCTGTTTTTCCTTCAAACACCGCCCACCCAAATCCCGGGCCCCTCGAAAACAGGCGTCTTGAGGGTCCGGACCTTCCCCCTGCGTGAGATCGGTAGAGAGTCGGTCCGACCCCGGAGGGCCTGAGCTCGGAGTCTTAGGGCAGTGCAATTCCTACCCTAGGGCTCCTGGCCCATATCATCAGGTTCGGTGGTTAGACCCTCCAAACCCACCCTAACCACCTTCTCAGGAGGTAGTTGGAGCCCTAGGGCTATACAACGTGTATTTTGCCGCCTTGTGAGCCATGCGTTTTGCGACTGTTTGGCCGGCCCTCAGAACCTCTGGACGTGTTTGTTACGACTTGGCCAGAAAGAAGAGGTGAACTTCAATCTCACTAAAGGCGAGGATACCTTTCCAGATCTTCCAGTATTATCCATGTGATTATTCTTTTTATTCAAATTTCCAGAACTGCATGTTTCTGAAGCCATGATTGGAGACCACAAAAAAGAACCAGCAACGCCGAGCTTTCTCAGCTCCCCTAAGATGTCGCCTTTCGTCGCCGACTCCTCTTCGACGTTCGTCGCCTATCCCTGAGAATCCGAGGTGCAGCAGGAGTGTTTGGCCTTGCCAAGGAGCTTTGAAGGCGACTGAAGCTCGAGACGGTGGCGGCGAAGAACGCGACATCCACAGAGTGTGAAAGAACGAGATCATGCGACCTGAAGCTTCATGTCGGGAGATCCCTAATTTGGAGATCCCTAGTGTTTCGGAGTGGGCTGAGTATAGGGCGTAGGGAATTCCAGCCAGGTGAGCCCCCTAAATGAAGGTGCTGGTATGTGCTTCAACATCTTCAACACGGTGATTGTCCCTCAAGGGCTTGATTGTCACCGTGAACCATGCAAGGTCTCAATGCTTCAGCAGGCCACTGAAGACTGAGGTTTTTCACAGACTGATTCAAAGGGAATCTGGAATTCAGCAGCATGTCACTTCAGAATCTGGAACACCAACCACGACAAAAAGGCCAGGTTTGACTCACTTTTTGAGGTCAAGGTCTTTATTGGAGGGTTGGGAAGGGCCCGAGACCAGGTCGAACCATTGGTGACCTGCCGCAGGGTCCTGGTACATGTATGTATTCCCTTTCACTTTGACACTGCTCAGGCCAACTGCCAATACAACTGGCAGCTTAAGAGCAATGATTTCCCTTGCCTTGAAATTGTGTCCTTGACAGAAGGGGTTGTCGGGGGCAGCAGCTAACTGTAAGCCGGGTTCCACGGGGATTTTGGTGTAGCAGCGATTTAGAACAAGATGGAGCGCCATTCATGTAGAATCTTGATATAATATCTTGATTACTCTTTAGATGCGGGCCCTCCAAAACATATAAATAGGGTTTGGTTCGGGTCCGGACCCCTACGAAGAGGTCGGGTGCTCTCCCCTGCGAAGAGGTCGGGCCCAAGGAATCTTAGTGTAAGGAAGACAATCCATATGAAAATCCATCTACGCCACAAAAGTGTTGTATACATGGGAAAGGCGAGGCTCATGTTGATCCTTTGAAGACTATCATGAGCTTTCACAGTCTGTATATGAGGAACATGTGCACGGTACGAGCTTTCACCCGAAGACTCCTCTCGTACTTTGCAGCCAACGGCCAGGCTGCGATATTCACACCGGCTTGGAGTATGGCAAGGAGTGGGCCTGCGTCAGCAGCCGCAGCCGCTGCCAGTCGCCTTTGTCTTTGTTTTTTGTTTTTGTGGGAGCTGAAGTCGAGTCGGAAGACGGAACATTTTTATTTTCTGGCACCCCTTGAAAAGAATCAAAAGTCAGCAGGGCGGCCTTGCCATGGACCGTCGAGCTTTGGTCCACTTGAACCTGTTTCATGGAGTACGTTCCAAGAGAGGTAGCCAGTGACCTGAACTAGGCACTTATAGGACCCGTCACCTGGGGTACCTAGAACCATAGGGTACCAGGGGCCCTCAAAACCATGAAAAAGAAAGGTTTTCAAATACAAAAACCGTGTATCTTTTGCCAGGGAAAACCAGTTTTTTGATGGTTTGGGGGCCCCTTGGTAAAGGGTAATAAGGTACCGACTGTTGGGAGAGTCCACCAGTCGGGTCTTTGAACCTGGTTCTGGATCTGCCCATTTCGACCGCAGGACTACCAACTCCGTGTCCGGGAGGGGTGCACAGACGATGCAGCGTCTCTTGGCCTAACACTCCATCATGCTCCATCCATGGCACATATACCATATATACCCACCCTGTGCTCGAGCATTCCCATAAAAAGAATGTCGGGGTTGAAAACATGTGCGCTCGTGTTTTCAGGAGGCTGTGAGGATGATGTTATCATATTATGTTATTGTCGTTTGGCCCGAAACTGTTAGGTTGGACAACTTGGCCTCAAAGGAAAAGAAAACGCAGATGAAAGAAGAAAAACAGCAAAAATAACAAAACAACAAGCATGCAGAGCCAAGTGCCTTAAGTGCTTTTGGCTTAAAGCTAGAGGAGAGAAAGGAGGTGAAAGAAACATCCCGTGACCAAAGGGAAGAGAAGGAGGGAGATGTGATGAGATGTGAAAAAGAAAGAGGGAAGAGCAGGGGGGAGAGGTGAAATAAGAAGAAGGGAAGATAGGGGTTGCACGGTGCACCCCTTGACCTTGACAACAGGGATGCAAAGGCTCATGAAACTGCCTCTTCCCTAAAAGGAAGCAAAGGACACAGCCCTTGCCCTTGAACCCAAGAAATATAATGAAGGGGCTGAGGCAAAGCACATTGGCCCAAATAGTGGGACTCCAGTCGTCCGGTCCTGGTCTCGGACGCTCGGACGTTTTGCCTTAGCGCGGCAAGTACACCGACGGCTCGATTGGTCGTGCCTGTTCCAAGCTGAAGGAAGACGAGGAGGGGCAAAAGACTTCATGAGTATCAAACTTCCTGCGTTGAAGAGGTTCGTTTTGCACATCGAAGCTATTGGCGGTATCTCGAGGTGAGCCACAAGTGAATTTGGCTGGTGCTGTTGGAACAAAGGAGTGGCTGTCACAAACGGATTCGAAGGAGCCTTTCCAAGTTGAAATAGATTCAAGTAGATGGTGTAACTGTGATCCCTTGTGCATGTCTGGGGAGCAAGCAGACGACTCCCCACCCACCCTACTTGCTTGGAAGCTGGATCTTAACCCAGCTGCTAGCTGCTAGTAACTGGAACCGGAGCTGGGATGTGTGCGCATAGGTTCCTGATGGTGGTGTTGAGTATCACACAAATGATCTTATCTGGACACATGAATGATGGTTGCACTTCCAACACTTCGAACTTGGGTTTTCAGTTAACGCAATTGTCTCAATGGGAA